TCCTCCCTTCTACCCTGGATCTCCTGTGTCCATTCAACCGGCTTCTATCCCTTTCTACCTTCTCATCTCGCCTCTGGACAGGAGCTGCCCATTTAGTCTCATGTATCTACTTGAACCAAGAAGCACACTTTTCACGAGTATCATTTTATGTCTTATAGTCCAGTCTATTCTTTGTCTGAAGAGTTGGCTTTGGGAATGGTTTTAGTTCGGGGTAACAGAGAGTCCAGGGGCCATGTTGTTTTTTTAAAGAGATTTTTAAAATAAGAAAAACCAACTTTTATGTTATTGACAAATTTACTATTCCTGATGCTTTTCATTCCTTTTTGTAGATCCGATTCCTATCTGGTATTTTCCTTCTGCCTGAAGAACTTCTTTTAACATTTGTGCGTGTGTGTGTGTGTGTGTGTGTGTGTGTGTGTGTGTGTGTGTGTAATCCAAATCTGCTGGTAATGAATTCTTTAGGTTTTTGTATGTCTGATAGTCTTTACTTTCCCTTCATTTTGCTGGGTGTAGAGTTCTAGGTTTGTTTGGGTTTTTTTTTTCCCATTACTGTAAAGATGATCCTCCAATGTATTCTGGTTCGTATGGTTTCTGTTGAGAGTGTGCTGTCATTTTTATCTTATTCTTTTGTCCATAATATGTCTTTTTCCCTCTGGCTACTCTTGAGGATTTTATCTTTACTAACTAGACAATAGATAAGTAGTAACTTTGGTGAAGGGTAAGACAGTACACATACTGGGAAGTCAGCACAACTTGACCAAGGCAAAGTCATAGAAGATTCATAGACAAATCCAAACTCCCTGAGGGACCAAGTTACTAGGCTGAGGACTGGGGACCATGGTCTCAGGGGGCATCTAGCTCAACTGGCAAAAGTAGTTTATAAAGAAAATGTTCTACATCCAACTGTGGTGAGTAGCGTCTGAGGTCTTAAAAACTTGTGAGCCACCATCTAAGATACTCTACTGGTCCCACCCCATCTGGAGCAAGGAAGAATGAAGAAAACCAAAGACACAGGGAAAGATTAGTCCAAAAGACTAATAGATCACAACTACCACAGCTTCCACCAGACTGAGTCCAGCACAACTAGATGGTGCCTGCTGGCGGCTCTGACAGGGATCACAGTAGAGGGGATCACAGTAGAGGGTCCTGGACAGAGCTGGAGAACAATATAGAACAAAATTCAAATTCATTAAAAAAAGACCAGACTTACTGGTCTGACAGAGACTGGAGAAACCCCAAGAGTATGGCCCCCAGACACCCTTTTAAGTCAGTACTGAAATCATTCCTGAGGTTCACCCTTCAGCCAAAGATTAGACAGGCCTATAAAACAAACAATATACATGTAGTTCAACCATGTATACAAGACTAAATGGGCACACCAGCCCAGGGACAAGGAGGAGAGGGCAGGAGGTGACAGGAAAACTGGACGAATGGAAATGGGGAACCCAAGGTTGAGAATGGGAGAATGTTGACACATCACAGGATTGGCAACCAATGTCACAAAACAATGTGTATTGTTTAATGAGAAACTAATTTGCTCTGTAAACCTTCACCTAAAGCACAATTTAAAAAAAAAAAAAAGTTTTATCTTTATTACTAGGAGTCCTAATAGCAAAATGGTTAAGTGCTCAGCTGCTAACTGAAAGGTGGGTGGTTCAAACCCACCAGTGGCTCCACAGGAGATAAGACCTGGTCATCTGCTCCTGTAAAGATTTCCACCTAGGGAACCCTATGGGGAAGTTCTACTCTGTCCTATAGTATTGCTGTGAGTTGGAATCAACTAGACAGCACACAGCAATACGTAAGCCCTCTTGTGTTACTTTATTACTGGTTTTAGGCAGTTTGCTTATGATAGGCCTTGGTATAGTTTTCTTCATATTTTTTGTGCTTAGAGTTCATTGAGCTTTTTGGATCTGTGGTCTCATAGTTTTGACTAAATTTGCAAATTTTTCATTCATCATTCTTTCTTCAAATATCTTTCTGTTCCCCTTTCTTTCTCTTCTTCCTCAGGGACTCCAATTACATGTAGATAAAGCTGCTTGAAGTTTTCCCACAGCTTACTGATGCTCTGTTCATTTTTTTCCTCAGTCTATTTTCTGTTTCATTTTGAATAGTATCTATTGTTACGCTTCAAGTTCACTCATCTTTTACTCTGCTATGTCTAATCAGTTGTTAATCCCATGCAGTGTATTTTTCATCTCAGACACTGGTTTTTTTTTTTCAATCTGTACAACTTCAGTTTTGTTTTTTTTTTTTTTATATTCTTCATGTCCCTCTTAACATGCTCATACTTTACTTTGCCTTCTTGAAGATATGGAATATAGTTAGAATAACTGTTTTAATATCCTTGTCTGCTAATTCTATTACCTTTGACATTTCTGGTTCTGTTTTTATTGACGGATTTTTCTTCTCATTATGGGTTGTAATTTCCTATTTCTTTGTCTGCCTGGTAAGTTTTGATTGGATGCCAGACATTGGGAATTTTACCTTGTGGGGTCTTGTATACTTTTGTATTCCTGTAATGATTCTTGAGCTTTGTTCAAGCTTTGTTTGGAATGCACTTAAGTTACTTGGACATAGGTTGAGTCTTTCAAGGTTGCTTTTATGCTTTGTTAGATGTGTATCTTGGTCATCTGGTCGTGCTATAACAGAAACACCACAAGTGGATGGCTTTAACAAAGTGAAATTTATTCTCTCACAGTCTAGGAGGCTAGAAGTCCAGTCAGCTCCAGGGGAAGGTTTATTCTCTGGCTCTGGCGGAAGGTTCTTGTCATCAATATTCCCCAGTCAAGGAACTTCTCAGCGCAGGGACCCCAGGTCCAAAGGACATGCTATTCTCCTGGCTCTTGTTTCTTTGTGGTATGAGTTCCTCCTGTCTCTCTGCTCAATTCTCTCTTTTATATCTCAAAAGACGTTGACTTAAGACACAACCTAATCTTGTAGATTGAGTCCTGCCTCATTAACATAACTGCCTCTAATCCTGCCTCATTAATATCACAGAAGTAGGATTTACAACACACAGGAAAATCACATCAGATGACAGAATGGTGGACAATCACAGCATACTGGGAATCATGGACTAGCCAAGTTGACACACAAATTTTGGGGGGACACAATTCAATCCATAACAATGGGACCAGAGCAGCATATTTACTCGGGAAAAAAAAAAAGCCCTTCTGACTGCACTACCCATTGCCCTTTTTTTTCCACTTTGGCTCATGTGAACATGAACTTTCCAGCTTTGTGTGAGCTTTTGGGGTCGTTTCCTTTGCTCCCCTTTAGTGTTGGTTTCCTGGCCTTGAGTAGTTTTTTCACACCCATGCACTGATCAGTACCTAGTTGAGACATGAGGGTGACCCTCTGCAGATTTCTGAAACTCTTTTTGTAGCTCTTCTCTGGTCTTCTTACCTGAAAAAAAATCTGTATTCTTTGACCTCCACAGACTCCCAGCTCAATGTCCTCAATTCAGAGTTCCTCATCTCTATACCCTGAAACCTCTCTCCATAAGCTAGCACAGTCATGACTCATATTGGTTGTTTCCTTTTACTCATGGTTCACTGTCCTATGCTGCCTTTGTTCAATGTCTGAAAGCTGTTGTTTCATATATTTTTGTTGTTGTTGCTTCAGGTGGGAGAGTAAATCTGGTCCCATTTACTCATCTTACCTGGAAGTAGAAATTCCTCAGGCTGCTTAGAACTTCCCCAGCATACTTGCTTCAAGCCACTTTCCCTACTGTTTTCCATGGACTGAATTCCCTCTACCCCCTTCTCCCTCTAGCAAACTCTTATTCATCCTTTAATGTCTAGCTTATGTCATGTCTTTTCTGAAGTTTCCCTATCCTTTACCTTCCTTTTGATATTCGTGGTATATTTTAAAAACCTGTCTTAATGTTTATCATGGTATTTTGCAACATGTTTTCCATGGCTATCCTCCCAACAATCTGAGCTCTTCCAGGGAAGGTATTAAATCTTTTTTCATCCTCTGCTGTCCTCAGAGCTGACACTTACATCCCCAGGGATTTGTTGAATGAATGGAAAAATAAGAGCAATGAGATAGGTTATTCCTTGGACTGTTTGGAAGATGAGCTTTGGGGATAGAAAAGATGGATCTGTTTCTGCCCTGGTGGACCCAGGAAGGAGACATGCTGAAACCTTGGTAATATGGTCTGGTGAGGAAGGACAGAATGGGATAAAGAGTGTGAAAAGTGAACTCAACTACAAAGCCTGGTGGTGGTTGGGAGGCCACAGTGGAGACTAGTACAGGCAACCCAGCAATCCAGTGCACAGTATCCAAACATTATGGAAGCTGAGGAGCAGTTCAGATAGATAAATCACAGGATGCGGGGCCCAACCTGCCTGAAAAGGCATAGGTACAACAATGTTATTTACAGAAAAACCCAATTCCAGGAATCCATTCATTTTGGCTGATAGTCAGAACTCAGATAGGCAGCTTCAGGCTAAATGATTGACATCCAACTGCCTATGAAAGGGGATGAGATGTTGCTGGGCAAGACCTTGGAACTCTAACCAGGTGGGCAAAGACAGAGGCAGAGTTTGAGTGACAGCAAGCCTCCAGAGTGTCAGGCAAAATGACCTGTCACTCAGACTGGGCTCCACTGTCAGGCAGGAAGTTAGAAAAGTGCAATATAGAAATTGTTAGAATTCTCAGTGTGCATCCTCGCATACACCAAATCTAATGTGATAGGATGAGCCAGAGCCCCACTAAGACAGGGGGTCAGGGTTACTAATAAACTTCCTGCCGTAGTCAGGAAGAAGGATGGGCCCAGGCTACAGGTGATGGGCACCATGGTTCCAGCTGTGACGCTGCTTTGTAATAAAATGACCTAGAGAAGGAGATCCTGTCTTGAATTTGTTCCATAGCCTTTGCAAGTGGTCTGCTTTTTGCTTTGTTTTTAAAAATGTTTGAACACTTTTAGGTTCTCACTAATCTTAATGTGAACCCATCAGAACATGGCCAATCAGGGACCTGTTTTGTTGTAGGTGTGCCCACTGCCTGGCCCCTCGCCCATCTGACGCCTTTTCTCGCTTCTGTCAAGAATGTGGCTCTCCTGTCCCACCCATATTTGGCTGTCGTCTCCCACCTCCAGAAGGAGCTCAGGTGAGCAGCAGAATCCTTACATCTTTCAATGGTTTATCTGATGTTTATCTCCAACAGTAGCACAGTATCTGGCACACACGAAACACAAACATAAATACTGGCAGATTAATCTCATATGATCCAGACTCCTACTTAAGAATGGAAAAATGTGTTTGCAATGCCATTTCTTTTGTGTGGCCTTGCAGAAGCATGGACTTAGAAAGAGGTTGAAATCTTGTTTTAATGAGGCATGCATGGGCAAATATTTCCTACTCATATGGTATTTCTGTTCATAACCCTATGGGGCAGTTCTACTCTGTCCTATAGGGTCGCTATGAGTCAGAATCGACTCGACGGCAGTGGGTTAGGTTTTTTGATTTTGGTTCATAACCATGGTACAGTAAGGAAATACATTGTAGAAATAAATGGAAAGAAGTACTAATTACAAGTCTATATATCTGTAAGATGCACCATTATGTACAAAGAAGCTGTTGTATAAACTGTAGATTAATTGGTGTATCTATTAAAAAGCTTTGACTGAATAAGTGTAGGTAATAATTGATATCATCCTACCACTAATTTTATAACTTAGAAAACACATTTGGCTTGCTAAAACTCAAAACTTTCACGAAAATGTATTCATTTTTGATACAGTTGACATTTCTGGGTTTTTTGAACTGGAAATATTATCAGACTAAAATGAAATAAAAGAATCTGTCATGTTGATTGAAAAATGACTGTCTTTGAAAAGATAATCACTAAGAAAAAAATCACTAATTCAGTGAGTTCAAAGTCCAGGTTTTAGAATTGATTTATGCTCTCAAACAAGGTATCAGGTACTAAATGGATTTTTTTTTTTTTTAATCTTCCTCCAATTGATTGCTCAAGATTGGTATAGAAGTTAATTTTGCTTACTTCTGTGATAATATTTGGAACTCCTTGAAGAAGATACTACTGAAAATAAAACATGAATGGGTTCCATTGGTTTAAATTTTCCCTGCTTATATTCATTGGTGTAATGTCAAAGGTGGCTGGGTGGCGCAAACTTAAGCACTACTAGCCAAAACGTTGGCAGCTTGAACCCACCCAGAGGTGCCTTGGAAGATCGGCCTAGCAGTCTGCTTCCGAAAGGTCATAGCCTTGGAAACCCTAGGAGCAGTTCTGCTCTGCACACACCCACGAGTTGGAGTAGACTCAACGGCTACTAACGACAATAACAATGTCAAAGTTATTTTCTACTTGCCTGGAAAAAGATTTTTAGAACTTACTTTGTTTTTACAGGAAGAAAAGTTTGTTGTAGATAATAACTATTTAAAATGATGAACTTTAAAATATCTCTTTTGCCCCCATAAGTATGTTTATTTATGTTAGTCTGATAATATGCTATGATATATAAATAGCTTTTTAATTTAAACTAACGATTATTTATTGAGATCTTGCTATGTCCTGCTCTCAGCTGAGCCATTGGGATTCAGAGGGGTGGGATCCTACTCCTAGACCCAAGACACTCAGGGACTTACTAGAAAGATGCAGAGATGTGCCTCTCAGCTCCAAATCCACCCTTTATTGCTCTGCCTTGTGATACTGGAGCTGGACCCTTTAAACACTTCTCATTTGCCAGCTGACTTGATGTTGTTTTTTTATCAGTAGAGGTACTCTACTGCTGGAGAAACACTGACTGAGCAATGGACTTCTCTTCTTGATCCTGGCATGTTTTCTTCTCCTTTCACTCCTATGGTGCTCAGCTAACCTGGAGGACATCCAGTTGCAATGAACCCCAGTGAGTTTTAGTGGCATTTCCACGAACAGCTTCTTAGTGAGTTCCACTGGTACCCCAGCCAGCTTCCCAGATGGTTTCTTAGATACCCGAGTGGGCAGCTTCCTAGCAAGTTTCAGCAGCATTCCCACAGGTAGCTTCTTACCAAGTTCTTCCAGCTCCCCGGAGGGAGATTTCCTGACAAGTTTCATTGGACCCTAGGAGCCCTGGTGGTGCAGTGGTTAAGCACTTGGCACTTGGCTGCTAACCGAAAGGTCAGTGTTTCAAACCTACCAGCTGCTCTGTGGGAGAAAGATGTGGCAGTCTGCTTCTGTAAAGATTTACAGCCTTAGAAACTCTATGGGGCAGTTATGCTCTGTCCTATAGGGTCACTATGAGTCAGAATCAACTTGACAGCAATGGTTTGGTTGTATGTTTTTGGTTCAGTGGACCCCGCTGGGCATCTTTTTGCTAGCCAGCCTCAGCTTGTGTCACCTCAGTGTACTCTACACCTTCCAGTGAGCTACAGCCACGCTTGATCCATGAAGTCTGAATTTTAGCCTTGGGGGAGTAAATGGCCTCTTCCAAATTTGATCTTTCTTGGGCACTCTGCTTCAGCCATAGAGGTAGCGGCCCCTCCCCATATTTGATATTCCTGCATTCTTTAGAGTTTGCATTACCCTTAAGTTGTTAATGCCCTGTTACTAGTTAGTAATTATTTATATTAAACTTCTCCTGTTCAAATTACTGTGTGATTTTTGTCTCCTGATAGGAATCTGACTGGTACAGGATTGGTATCAGGAGTGGTCCCAGGAAATAGGATTTTGAAAGCGTTTTGGTCTTGCACTTTGATGGAGAGCAGTGCTGAGCTCTTTGCCAGTGGGAAATGGGATGCTAGTAATCCTTGGCATGAACTGGCATCACATAGATCAAGTTATCACTTGTGGATGATTGTGATTAAGTGCCAACAGAAACAAGCGTGTTGGGAAGTCAAGTAGCTGCTGCACTTGACTCTTTGGCAGTAGTGGTAACTATAAGAGCTGCGGTGTGGGATGTATTTTCTTGGGTACACTGGAGCGTTTACATGAAGAAAATGACAATCTCAGGACCTTTAAGTCATGTTCTGAGAACCAAACAGCTACGATGACAGCCCAGAAAGAATCCTTTTTTTGTAGCTCCAGGGTTATATTACTGAAAAGCAGACACAAAATTTAATTGTATATGTTGATGATTTACAACGTCAGCTGGATTTACCTTATCACTAGATTTCTTACGTGAAAGTTATGGCGTTAATTGGAAAAGAATGGGATCCTGAAACTTGGAATGTAGATATCTGGCTGAACCCAGATGAAAGTGGCAATCTTGAACCTTTAAGTCATTTGAGCCTCCTTTGCCCGTGGAAGTAGCTTACCCTCCTGTCTGAGGATACTAGTCTTCGTTTTCTTGAATTCTCTGTTAACCTCACCTGGGGCAGATGCCTTGAAAAGGATGCTCATTCTCCTCAGCTGCACCATAACCATCTGCTAGCATAACTAGGATTCAGTCCCAGCATGCTATAGGTGCACACTATATGATCCAGGAGGAAATAGCTTACATACCAAAAGAAGAGTAAGATTTTGCTAATATATATTTTAACCAAGGAGGACGGAATATAACACTGAATTGGGCCAAATTCATTGATATGTGTGCACCTTCTAGAGATTCTGGATTTAATGTGTTAGCTAATGCAGCAGGTTACTTGGTTGGTTGACTAAAACTTGGACTGACTAGTGGCCTATGTTTAATGATATTCAGATACTAGAACTTCCTTGCATCATGTGGAGGAGGGAATCCAAAAGCTTAGGAAGATAGGACTGTTGGAGTAGATTTATCATACTTGTCCTGCACCCCCAGCCCCCAACTACATTCCACAAGAAGGCCCAGAAGACACTTCCTTCACTAAGGCATTGAGGAATAAATTAGTGAGGGGAGCACCTACATCCTTTGAAAGTTCTGTGGCTGCTTTCCTCTGTAGGCCAGAAATAGGGGATGCTGCTACTGAGATGGGCTCACTGATTCAGTGGGTTTGGTCAGACCCCGGAGTAGCAGAGGTTAAGTGCCAGCACTTAACTGCCAACGATATGGTGGATGCATCTACCATAAGGGGCACCAGTGATGTATTGGTAATCAGAATCTAATCATGGTGTTCCTAGGAACTAAATAGATGGGCAGCTTACTAGAGTATTGCTCCGTCTATATAAAAATGAAACAAAACAGTAGGTCTTGTAGCCAGAAACATGACTTGAGTCACCATAGTGGAGCATCCCAGTTTCTCACCGAGTTTCCACACCTAAGTCAGTTCACAAACCCAGAGCACATTGATTAAAGGGAGACTGGGTCTTCTTGAGGAAGGACCTGCAGCATTGCAAGTATATGTAATAATAGATCTTCCTTAAAGCCTTTCCCAAAGGGACTTGTGGCCTTTACTAGAGTGACTGTGATTGGGGGAAAGGAAATGCCCCAACTTTGGGGGGATTACTAGGCACTTATTCTGAATTGACTCTGATTCTTGGTGACTCAAAATGCCACCAGTAAAATTAGGGGCTTATGGTGGTCAAGTGATAGATGGAGTCTTACCTCAAGTCTGACTTATAGTTTTTGCTTCATGTATTTGGGGGGGTATGTTGTTAGGTTCGTATACATTCATAATTTTTATATCTTCCTGGTATTATTCCCTTTTATCATTACAAAATCTCTCCCTTTGTCTCTAGTAATATTTCTTGTCTTAAAGTCCATTTTCTGTGATATTTACATGGCCACTTCAGCTTTCTTGTGGTCACTGTTTGCATTGTATATCTTTTTCTCTACCTTTGCTTTTAACCTATTTGTGTCATTGAATATAAAGTTTGTCTCTAGTAGACAGCATATTTTTATCCATCTGACAGTCTCTGCCTTTTGAGTATGTCGTTTCATCTATTTACACTTAATATCATTATTGATATGGTTGTGAGTATGGTAAGTATGCCATTTTGCTGTTTGTTTTCTATTTGTCTCTTGTCTTTTTTGTGCATCTATTCCTACTTTACCTGACTTCTTTGTGTTAAATACATAATTTTTAATGTGCCATTTCAATTCCTCTGTTATCTTTATTGGTGTGGTAGTTTCTCCAGGGCAGGACAGGCTTTGTGACTGCTAATGTACAGGGCTTATGCACATGATAATTTTTTTTACTGTTTTTTAGAAGTTATTTTCTAAATGGTGCTCTAGAGATTGCATGCACCTTAATTTATCACAGTCTATTTCAGAATAATTTAACTTAATTAGAAACTTTTCTCCAGTATATCTCCTTTTGTCCCCATTTCTTTATCTTTTATGTAATATATATTATTGTATGTAATACATCTATATATGTTATAAACCTTATATCATTTAAAGAAGTTAAGAGAAAGAAATATTTATAGAGTTATTTATATTTACGCACATATTCATTACATCTGGTCTCTTCATTTCTTCCTGTGAATGCAGGTGTCATTTCCTTTCAGCCTGAAGGACTTCTTTTAGTATTTCTTGTAAGGAAAGTCTATAAGCAGTTTCTCTCTGTCTTTGTTTATCTGAAAATGTGTTTATTTACCTTTTTGAAGGATTATTTTGCTGGTTATAGAATTCTTGTTTGGCCGTTACTTTCTACTTCAGCCCTTTGAATATGCTATTCTAGCGTTTTCTAGCCCCCATTGTTTTTGATGAAAAGTCAGTCAAATTGTTGTCCATATGTATATGTAAGTAGTTTTTCTCATGTTACTGTCGACATTTTCTTTCTCTTTGACATTCAGCAATTTGACTATAATGTGTCTAAGTATGAATCTCTTTGTGTTTATCTTTCTTGGGGTTGGTTGAGTTTATTGAATCTGTAGATTAATGTTTTACATCAAATGTGGGAAGTTTTCAGCCATTATTTCTTCAAATTCTTTTCTTCCCCTTTCTCTCTCCCCTCTTCCTCTGTGATATCCAATATATATATGTTGGTAGGCTTGATTTGTCTCACAGGTCTTTTATGGTCTGTTTACTTTAAATCTTTTTTCTCTCTGTTCTTCAGATTGGATAATTTCTATTGAATTATGTTCCAGTTTACTGATTCTTCTGTCATCTCCAATCTGCTCTTGAATCTCTCTGGCAAATTTTTTATTACAGTTTTTGTTTGTTTGTTTTTTACTTTTCAACTCCAGAGTTTCAATTTGGCTCTTAAAAAAAATTTTTTTTTAATTTATTGTGCTTTAGGTGAAAGTTTACAGCTCAAGTTAATTTCTCATATAAAAATTTATACACATATTGATATGTGACCCTAGTTGCTATCCCTATAATGTGACAGCACACTCCCCATTTCCACCCCAGGTTTCCTGTGTCCATTCAGCCAGAACCCATCCCTTTCTGCCTTCTCATCACACCTCCAGACAGGAGCTTCCCATTTAGTCTCGTGTATCTACCGGAACTAAGAAGCACATTCTTCATGAGTATTATTTTGTTTTATAGTCCAGTCTAATCTTTGAAGAGTTGGCTTCGGGAATGGTTTCAGTTCTGGGTTAACGGAGAGTCCAGGGGCCATGTCTTCGGGAGGTACTCTAGCCTCAATCAGACCATTAAGTCTGGTCTTTTTACATGAATTTGGGTTCTGCATCACACTTTTCTCCTGCTCCTTCAGGCAGGGACTCTCTGTTGTGTTCCCTGTCAGGATGGTCATTGGTGGTAGCCGGGCACCATCTAGTTCTTCTGGTCTCAGGCTAATGGAGTCTCTGGTTTATGTGGCCCTTTCTGCCTCTTGGGCTAATATTTTCCTTGTGTCTTTGTTGTTCTTCATTCTCCTTTGCTCCAGGTGGGTTGGGACCATTGATGCATGTTAGATGGCCACTTGCTAGCTTTTAAGACCCCAGACGCCACTCACCAAAGTGGAATGCAGAACATTTTGTTAATAAACTTTGTTATGCCAATTGACCTAGATGTCCCCTGAAACCATGGTCCCCAGATCCCCACCCCTGCTACCCTGTCCCTCAAAGTTGTTTGGTCGTGTTCAGGAAACTTCTTAGCTTTTGGTTTAGTCCAGTCGTGCTGACTTCCCCTGTATTGTGTGTTGTCCTTCCCTTCACCTAACATCTTTAAAAAATTTTTTTTTTTAATTTCTACCTCTTACTGAGATTATATAACATGGAGTCACCATGAGTCAGAATCGACTCCACAGCAACTAACACAAACCATGTATATTTATTGGATCATTGTCATTATACTTTTCCTTTAATTTTTTAAGCATGGTTTCCTTTAGTTCTCTGAACATCTTTATAATAGCTACTTTGAAGTCTTTATATGCTAAATCCAACATCTGGGGATACTCAGAGACAATTTCTATTGACTGCTTAACCCTCTTCCCAAATATGGGTCACTCTTTCTTGTTTTTTGTATGTCTTGTTATTTCTTCTGGAGTACTGGACATTTTCAGTGATATATTGTAGCAACTCTGGATTCTGACTTTTTCTTTCGAGCATTGTTTTGTTTTTTTTGTTTGCTTGGATGTCTGTCTCTCCTGCAATGTTATGGCCACTGATGTCAGCTTTTATTCTTTCTTGTTTTAATTTTTAAGCCCAGTCACCCCTGGATCTACATAGCTTAGTGTTCAGCTGAAGATTTGTCAGAAGTTGTGCTCAAATATTCCAGGCCTGTAAGGCTTTTCCTCTCTGTTGATGGATCTGTACATGAGCTAGTGAGAACATTCAAACTTCAGGCTGTATTCAAGACAGCCCAGATTTTACTTTATGCTGAGTTCTCTTGCATCTCCATTTGCAATCTCTGTCAGCCAGGGATGTGTAGGTAGCTTGGGCCCACTCTGGTTTATGATATACATGCTCGCAGCCTCTGGTCAACTAAGGATATGTGGAGAGCTTATCAAGCCTTGTATAGTTAACTTACATCCAGGAACACTATCTTAAATCTCTGGCTACTTTGCCAGTCCACATTGACTGCCCAAACAGGACCACAATCTCAAGCTAGTGGAGCCACTGGTCCTGCCTGTTAGCTTGACACCGAGATAATCACTTTAACTAACAATGTTCCAAATCAAGTGAGCCCTGTACATCAGCAGTCACAAAACTTCTGGTTTTCACAGCCTGCCCTGTCCTGGAGGAACTACCATGCTGATAAAGTTAGGTGAGGATGAGAGCAGCCCCAGGCAAGAACTGCACAGACGCCTAGTGTTCTTATCTGAAATTTAGTAGTTTGCAGAAACTTTTCCGTTTGTTGTATGCCTTTGGTCAACTTTTAGGGTACTGAAATGGTTTTTTGACAGTTTTACCCAATTTTTTAATTGCTTTTTGGGGAGAGGATTTGTCGACCTCCTTACTCCATCATGCTGTAAGTCAATCTCCTGCAGATATATATATTTTTAACATGTCTCTTTTTTACAATAAGTATGTTTTTACTCTTAATAGGAATAAAATAATAATAAAGGTAATTACTTTAAAGGTTATTTTATAAAAGCAAATTAAATCTTACATTCTAAGATCTGCTTATATCTTCAGTTTTTGCATCTGAAGACAAACCTGACCTCTTCCTTTGTGCAGATGGGCTTATGTGTAGAATGTGGAAGCATGGTACCCATGAATACTCCCATCTGTGTGGTGTGTGATGCTCCTCTCACTCTGCAGCTGCAGCCACAGGCCAGCCTCCATTTGAAGGTAAAGAAAATATGTAATTTTGTAAAAGCATAGAAAGTAATTTGAATAATTAAATGTTTTTATTCAGCTAGAGGAATTGACTAACAACTGATAAGCTAATGCCTGTGAACAAAATCCACTCTAATTTTTGCAAAGGCATGCTGCCCAAGAGTTTAAGTTACCAGTAGGAGATACATAGAAATGTGTTTCTTGAACATGAATTTGGAGGACAAATTGTATAATAGCTAAATTATATATATATATTTAATCCATATAGTTAAACTTGAACATTGCAATGAATATTGACTTATAATCTTGTCCTTAAAGTGGCTTAGTGCATCCCTTTCCTTTATTTGATTATGGGCACCTATTATGTAGAATACTAGTCAGATAACTGAAAAAGTTAGATATAATCACAAACTTTCAAAAAAATTTGCTAGACAAATGGTAAAAAATTTTTTTGATAGAACATACAACTGTGTATTTTCTCTATTTTTTTTAATTTATAGTTCTATTTAACACCTCTATAATCCCAAGTGAAGATCACTATAGGATAGAATAGGTTTAGTAAAGAGATTTTGGGGATACAAAAGCAAGAATTTTTAGCAATGAGGGAAATGCATGATCTTAATGTACAGTCAAAACTGTAGCACTCCTAAAATGACCTTGTGTATTCTAAGCGGGTGAGATGTATGGAAGTTCATGAGAGAAAAGATTAGTCCTTTCTTCTTCTACCTCCAAGCTCCCCTGCACTGTGAAAGGTCCAAAATGTCCCAGACTCTGTAACCGTTCAGAAATGAGATTTTGAAGAACTAGTGGGCCAAAATCAGGTAGATGAAAATTTACTTTTGTTAGATGACTCTTTTCAATCTGAAACTTTAGAAGGTACCACAGGAAGCCACCATACAGCCTGGAAGCCTATTCCAGACTTCTTATACATGAGAGGGAGAAATCAACTTTCCTCTTGTTTAAGCCACTGTTATTTTGTGTGTTCTGTCAGTCACAGCAGAGCGTATTCTTACCAATACGGTTTCCCAGGATGTTTGAAGATAATATCATTCCAAACTCTTTGGACTATTCAAAACATGAGGAATAGGAGTATAGTTGTGAATGAAGTTCAGTATATACCATGCCGTCTTTAGTATCTGAAATCCAGAGTTCTTCCCATTTTGTGGAAAGGCAGGGAGGTACAAAAATATAGAAAGTCATTGTTTTCCCTTTAATTTTTAAATCAGTGGTTAAGAGTTTGGCTGCTAACCAAAAGGTCAAAAGTCTGAATCTACCAGCCGCTCTTTAGAAACTCTATGGGGCAGTTCTGCTCTGTCCTGTAGGGTCACTATGAATTGGAATTGACTCAATGGCAGCAGGTTTGGTTTTGTTTTTTATATTAAGGATAAATACAGGACTTCTATAGTGATTAGTAGGAACCTTGGTGGTGCAATGGTTAAGCGCTCTGCTCTTAACTGAAACCGACCCAGTGGCTCTATGGGTTTTATCCCAGTGACTAAGTTGGCTCCACTAAATTGTTTAGAACAATCTAGCTAGCTAATACATTGCAAATGCTGTGGATGAGATGGCAAATGAAGGTATGGATTTTTTTTAGAAGTCCTCTTCATAGATGTTTAGTATCTTCTTTACGACAATCTGACAGTGGCCTGGGTTCCGGATCATCCTCTGAGTGGCTGTAAGCCTTAGAGCAGTTTTAAAAATTGCAGACAGGAACCCATTAGAGGGTCATAAATACATTTAAGGGTTACAATAACATTTTAAAAAAAGAAACAAAATGGGAAATATCAGAATACATCATGCAGAGTAGGGGAAAGTATTTTCTCATGAAACTTTCATATGTGTGTGTGCGTGTGGCGGATTGTGATAAAAATGGTTTTTAACTGTGGGTCATGGCCTCTGCTCTAGAGGGAAGTGAGCCATGGCATATGTCGCAAGCCACCTCAGAGACCACAGAAAGGCCTGCTGATCAAGAAACTACATTCGTTAGGCTTGCTGAAGTAAGGTAGACCACCACCTTGACAGAGTCTTAGTAGTGTCCCAGGAAAGAGAAGACAGGGAAAGGTATTTGTAGGGTTTTAGTGCTGTCACACTGAGTCACTGTGAGTTGGAGTAGACTTGAGGCACCTAACAAGAACAACAAATGCTGGGGCTGAGTGACTTTAAAGCAGGTCTTGCCAGACAGGGACGTGGTTGGGATTGAGCAGAGTTAGGATCGGCCTCAGTTAATGATGTGCTAGTTTTGGGTTGTGAGCCCTGCAAGGTGAGGGTCTTGAAGTAAGTCTGGCTGAGCAAACTGTTGGACTTGCTAAATAAGCTGGTTTAGTTGGTTTACGGTATTCTTTTCCTAGGGTATTTCCTGCTGCAAGCAACCAAGTTATTTTTACTTGATCTCAGTATTTTTAAACAGGGACAGAAAATTTATTTTATTTCTCAATGGGTTTTACCAGGTGTTTTCTGAGACAACATCTTTAGGAAGGTTGCAGCCCTAAATCTAGCAGATAAGCTCTGGCCAGCTGCAGACTGTGCTATTGAGACTTCAAGCCACTTGAAGGAATGCTGAAACCAGGGAGGGTCAGGAAACATGAAGAGCAAGATTGTCATTCTCTGCCACTATGAAGAGCAGTCAGCCCATCTCTGCACTTTGGGAGTGCTCTGGGTTGAGAACTGCATTTCTTGAATTGGCTCTGGGTCCTAGGAAGACCTATTAAAATGGAGTTAATCAGACTTTAAGAGGCTGGAGACTTCACAGGGCTACCTAGTGACACTGAAGGTCCAGGAGTTGGGCTTTTAGTTTTTTGATCATCCTATTTGCCTAAAACTGCTTCAGAGCACACTACATCAGTTTCGGGATACTAAATACCACAGTTCCTAGAGTAGAAAGGAGCATTTGAACATCACTGGTCTGACAATCAAAGAAGATAGTATCCTGGCACTGATAGAATAATCCAGTAACTAAATGCCAAAAACCAAACCCATTGCCTTCGAGCTGATTCCAACTCATAGCCACCCTGTAGGACAGAGTAGAACTACCCTATAGAGTTTCCAAGGCTGTAAATTTTTACAGAAACAAACTGCCACATCTTTCTCCCATGAAGTGGCTAGTGGTTTTGAACCACCAGCTTTTCAGATAGCAGCTGAGCACTTTAACCACTGTGCCACCAGGGCTCCCTATTAACTAAATAGATGTTAGCAAACCTCTGATAGCTGAGCTCTGGTTAGACTCAGTAGTTAAGAGCTCAGTTGCTAACGAAAAGGTCTGCAGTTTGAATCCACCAGCCGCTCCTTGGAAACCCTATGGGGCAATTCTACTCTGTTCTGTCTAGTGGATGGCAATGGGTTTGGTTTGGTTTTTGTTGGTTAGACTATTTAGTCATCATTTCCCTTCCTCCCTCCCTCCCTTCCTTCTTCTGTTTCTTTCACCCTCCCTCCCTCCCCCTCCTTCCCCCCTCTTCCTTTCATTTCTTTCTTCCTTCCTTTTTTCTGTATTGGAATTTGACCACATATTCCTGACTTGGAAAGTTGCACTTACCATTCCCCCCAACTTTTTTTTTTTCCCCTGTACTTTCTTTTATTATCATCATAGTCTTCACATCAAGATACATAGCAATGATAGCAGGTTTCTTTTTAAAGCTTAGTATTAAATATTAAGTATCTTTTCCCATTTTAATTTTACATTACTCTGTCAAGAAAAAAAAAATTAAAACTCATGTTATTTGAAGCCTGAACCACTTCCATGATTACCCAGGCTATGTAAAAGTTGATGGCTTTGTTCTTCCTGCTGTGTAAGCAGATCTAGGCTCTAGAAGGATGGGACCAGGTTATAACTGTTTTTGAAAAGTATGCTACGAAAATGGGTGGCCCGTTGTAAGCCAGGTTACAAAGAAAGGATGGGAGTAAGGGAAGGACATTTTCATCCAGAAACAATTTCTGACGAGTCCCAGTCCATCATTTTTTCCCAAAATGGTTGGAAGAGGGGGTAAAATCCCAACATGAGCTTCAGAGTACTGTCTCTATGAGGGGACAAGGTGCCTTGCTGAGGAGGGGGATGGCTAAGGTAGAACATTCTCTCCCTTTCCAGCTAGGGAAATGGAAAGTTTATTGTCCAGTGGGTGTGAAAATGGGTTGAAGCTTGGCTGCTACTGAATTCTTTAAGAGATTTCTTCTAGAAACAGACAACTCAGATTCTTCCTCTCACTTCAGCAAAGAAGTTATTTTTAAAAGCACTTGGGAAGTTCCTCCTCCACCCCTCTGGTGGGAAGGTTCAGAGAAGGGAGTCATCAGTACAGCCACCTTCTTGACCATAACGGAATTCCTGAAGGTTGGAGACCCCAGAGAAGTGTACAAATGCTGCCACCACCACCAGGACATGAAAAATCTGATGAGACTGGAACCATCTGTCAAACTTCCCAGGAAAGAAGCACTCAGGAATTCAAGCAGCCTAAAGGCCAGCTCCAGCGATGTACATCACAGCCATAAGGAAGAACCAGCCCATCTGGCCCACTGTGGTGGCCTTGACAAAGCCCTCAGCGATAGTAAAGTACACGGTGGGCACAACAGCACTCAAGCCAAGTTGCAGGAACACTCCTGCTCTTGTCTGCTGGTGCTTAGGAGTGGCAAACAGGTCCCACTGTGCCATGATGATGGCAGAAATGCCCAGGACGCAGACGATGGAGAGGTAGATGAGCCGTGGTTGTGGGGAGCAGTAGAAGGAGTAATAGAGCCAGGGGACAAAGCTCCGCATAATCAGTAGAGAGATCCCTGAATAGTCCAGTTTGGAAAAAGTCCGAGAGACTTTCTCTGAATGACAGTAGACAGTGTGGAAGAGCCAGGAGAAGCTGAGGCAGAGCACTATACCCAGAAAGAACATCCCAAAAACCACCTTCTCCTGTAAAGGGGCCATGAGCATGATCAAGATTCCTAAAAAGAGAAACAGCACAAAACCAAGCATATGGGTCCAGATATTGCCAGTTTCTGCATGATGCGGAAGATGCTCTTGAAGGAAGCCCGAAAGGAGAGCATGGGTGGTCTATGGCCATGCAGTAGGTAGTCATTGTCCTTCAGCCAGTCAGGGAGCATATCATACGGGATGACTCTCCAACGTCCCTCCCAGACCTTATACACAAACTCCTCCATCTTCTCCATGGCGTGGTGGGCTTGCGGGAAAGCGTCAGTACCCGCCCCTCCTCCTCTTCTTCCTGGGGCACTAGGCATGTTTGCTCTTCTTCAGTTTTGGTTGGATTGGTGATTGCCCATTTGCCTTTCTCTTCTGGCAGGGGTCCCAGTTCAGCCAGTTCCACCGTGTCAGTTTCCCTGTTACTGGCAGGCGCCCCATTGCCCTGTGCCACCATAGGTCCTTTGTGGGAAGACTGGTTTCTGTCTGGTACCTCAATACCCTGCAGCTTCAGCTTGGGGAAAAGTGGGGGCCTCTCAGCCCCAGGTGGCAGAAATCTCCCGGTGGTAGACAGGCCACGCTGGCGGGCCAGCTCTGCTGGGGGCTGCGGTCCCCAGCGCTACATCCCGCGGCTCTGGAGGCGGCCTGTGGCCAAGTGGCCCCGGATCTTCAGTGCCCTCTCCCCACATCTTTTCTTTTTTTAATTTAATAGACTTTCTTTTGTGTGTGTGTGTGTGTGTGTGTGTGTGCGTGTGTGTGTACTTTAAGTGAAAGTTTACAGCTCAAGTTAGTTTCTCATATACAAATTTATACACACATTGTTATGTGACCCTAGTTGCTATCCCTATAATGTGACAGCACACTTCTTCTTTCCACCTCGGATTTCCTGTGTCCGTTCAACCAGCTCCTGCCCTTTTTGCCTCCTCATCCCACCTCCAGACAGGAGCTGCCCATGTAGTCTTATGTATCCACTTGAACTAAGGAGCACAGTCTTCACGAGTATCATTTTATGTCTTATAGTCTACTCTAACCTTTGCCTGAAGAATTGGCTTTGGGAATAGTTTTAGTTCTGGGTTAACAGAGAGTCCAGGGGCCATGTCTTCCAGGGTTCCTCCAGTCTCAGTCAGACCACTAAGTCTGGTCTTCTAACTAGAATTTGAGTTCTTCACCCCACTTTTCGCTTGCTCCGTCAAGGACTTTCTGTTGTGTTCCCTGTCAGGGGGGTCATTGGTGGGAGCTGGGTACCATCCAGTTCTTCTCTCTCAGGCTGATGGAGTCTCTGGTTTATGGGTCCCTTTTTTCTCTTGGGCTAAATTTTCCTTGTGTCTTTGATGTTCTTTATTTTCCTTTGCTCTAGGTAGGTTGGGACCAATTAATTCATCTTAGATGCCGCTCACTAGCTTTTAAGACCCCAGACTCCACTCACCAAAGTGGAATGCAGAATATTTTCTTAGTAAACTTTGTTATACCAATTGACCTGCATGTCTCCTAGATGTCCCCAGACCCCAGCCCCTGCTACTCTGTCCCTCGAAGTGTTTGGTTGTGTTCAGGAAACTTCTTAGCTTTTGGTTTAGTCCAGTTGTGCTGACTTCCCCTGTATTGTGTGTTGTCCTTCCCTTCACCTAAGATAATTCTTATCTACTATCTAGTTAGTGAATTCCCCCCTCCCCCCCTCCCCATCCTCGTAACCACCAAAGAATGTTTTCTTCTGTATTTAATCCTTTTCTTTTTTTCTTTTTTCCTATATACAAATTTATACATACATTGTTATGTGACTCTAATTGCTCTCCCTATACTGTGACAGCACACTCCTCCTTTCCACCCCTGATTCCTCATGTCCAATTCAGCCAGCTCCTAACCCTCTCTGCCTTCCCATCTCACCTCCAGAAAGAAGCTGCCCATTTAGTCTCTTGTATCTACTTGAGCTAAGAGGTACACTCCTCATGAGTATCACTTTATGTCCCACAGTCCAGTCCAATCCCTGTCTGAAGAGTTGGCCTCAGAAATTGTTTTAGTTCTGGGATGAGAGAGAATCCAGCGGCCATGCTTTCTGGGGTACTTCCGGTCTCAGTCAGACCATTAAGTCTGGTCTTCTTACTAGAATTTGAGTTCTGCACGCCACCTTTCTTCTGCTCTATCCAGGACTCTCTGTTGTGTTCCCTGTCGGGGCAGTCATTGGTGGTAGCCAGGCACCATCTAGTTCTTCTGGTCTCAGGCTGATGAAGTCTCTGGTTTATGTGGCCCTTTCTGTCTCTTGGGCTAATACTTTCCCTGTGCCTTTGGTGTTCTTCATTCTCCTTTACTCCAGGTGGTTGGGACCAATTGATGCATCTTAGATGGCCACTTGCAAGCTTTTAAGGCCACAGATGCCACTCACCAAAGTAAATGCAGAACATTTTCTTAATAAGCTTTGTTATGCCGATTGACCTAGATGTCCCCTGAAAGCATGTTCCCCAGACCCCTAAACCTGCTACTCTGTCCCTCAAAGTGTTTGACTGTATTCAGGAAACTTCTTAGCTTTGGTTTAGTACAGTTGTACTGACTTCCCCTGTATTGTGCGTTGTCCTTCCCTTCACCTAAGATAATTCTTATTTACTATCTAGTTAGTAAATAACCCTTACCCTCCCTTCCCACCCTCGTAACCATCAAAGAATGTCTTCTTCTGTGTTTAATCCTTTTCTCGAGTTCTTATAATAGTAGTCTCATACAATATTTGTCCTTTTGTGATTGACTAATTTCACTCAGCATAATGCCTTCCAGATTCATCCACGTTATGAGATGTTTCACGGATTCATCATTGTTCTTTATCGTTGTGTAGTATTCCTATTGTGTGACTATACCATAATTTGTTTATCCATTCGTCTGTTGATGGGTACCTAGGTTGCTTCCATCTTTTTGCTATTGTGAACACTGCTGCAGTGAACATAGGTGTGCATATATCTATTCATGTGAAGACTCTTATTTCTCTAGGATATATTCCAAGGAGTGGGATTGCTGGATCGTATGGTACTTCTATTTCTAGCTTTTTAAGGAAACGCCAAATAGATTTCCAAAGTGGTTGTACCATTTTACATTCCCACCAGCAGTGTGTAAGTGTTCCAGTCTCTCCGCAACCTCTCCAACATTTATCATTTTGTGTTTTTTTGGATTAATGCTAGCCTTGCTGGGGTGAGATGATATCTCTTTGTAGTTTTGATTTACATTTCTCTAACGGCTAATGATTATGAGCATTTCCTCATGTATCTGTTATCCACCTGAATGTCTTCTTTGGTGAAGTGCTAGACTTTATTTTTTAGAGCAGTTTTAGGTTTATAGAAAAATTGTACAGAAAGTACAGAGTTCTCACTCCCTCCCCCATGCATATTGTTTCTCCTATTAACATTTTGCATTTCTGTGGTATATTTGTTAAAATTACTGAACCAGTATTGATACATTATTATTAAATGGAGTCCATAGTTCACATTAGGATTCATTTATTGTGTTGTACAGGCTTATGGGTTGTAAAAATGCTTAATGTCTTGTGTACATGACTGTAGTATCATACAGAATAGTTTCATTGCCCTAAAAATGCCCTGCACTCCATCTGTTCATCCCTCCTTCCTCCCCCTGAACCCTTAGCAACCACTGATCTGTGGGGTTTCTGTGAGTTGGAATCGACTGACAGCTTGACAGCAGCCAACAATGAAAACAACAACAACATGGTTTTGCCTCTCTAGAATGTTTTGTAGTTGAAATCATACACTATGTAGTGTTTTCAGACTGGCTTCTTTCACTTAGCAGTATGCATTTAAGGTTTTTTCATGTCTTGATATCTCAGTTCTTTTTAACACTGAGTAATACTCCATTGTGTGGATGTACCACAGTTTGCTTATCCATTCACGTACTGAGGGGCATCTTGGTTGCTTCCAATTTTTGGCAGTTATGAATAAAGCTGCTATAAACATTTGAGTGCAGGTTTATACGTAGACATACATTTTCATCTCACTTGGGTAAATACCTAGAGGCACGATTGTTGGACTGAATGGTAAGCCTATGCTTAACTTTGTAAGAAACTATTCTGTAAGGCAATCATTCTACTCTTTCCATTTCTAAGTGAGGAACTATAGAGCAAACATAAATTTATGTTTAACATTAAGCCCCATGGGGGTAAACACCTGTCCAAGAACCAGGCTTCTTGAAAATACCTAGGCTGCTGCTGGTCTTGGGCCCCTGTGTTTGCTGTTCAAACCATGAAACGGACAGCCTACTGATGATCAAGTTTTTCACATTAAAACAAAACAAAATGAAAAACCTCACACAGAAGCAGTACAAAATTTTCAATTTGCCTTTCAAGGCCAAAATGAATATTCTTTTTCAGTTGGTTTATTTCTTTCCATTTTTGTTTCTTTTTAAAGCTGTGTCTGCCACTACTTATTTGTAGTAAGTCCTAAATCAATCTAGTACTTCAGAATCTGGGTGTTGTAATAGGGTCTGTAGCTGGCTGATTGTCAAAAGTACTACGTAATGACTTCTTTGTACGGTTGTTTGCTCAGAGGAACATGAACTTCTAATTTTCTCTTTTCCAGGAGATGGTAATCTGCCAAGCCTGTGGCACAGGGAACCCTGCTCACCTGAGATACTGTGTTACCTGTGAGGGGGGGCTGCCTTTGTCACAAGAGGTAGGTTGACTGCCTGTGCCAAGCCTACATTTGTTGGATACTAAATGTTCAATGTTAAAAAATGTTAAACAGAAAGAAATATAATCTGGAATGAGAGTGAGAGTGGGAAGGTGGCGAGACACCAGAAAGCTTCTCGTGGTGAACTGAAACAACATTTGCATATGTGGAGAGGACTGTACTGATCCAAAATGTTTTCAAAGTCTTAACTTTAAGGAGGTTCAATAAATTTGGCAATGTCTTACAATTTTTTTCAATAATTTTCACAGGAAGCTGGTGGTGGCCAGTGGGGAAATGGGCCCACTGATCACATTGCATTTGCAGTTATGTCTTTTTTGACCATGCAGGTGTGCTGCTTTTTGACGTTGAGAACATGGCGATCACTCATTTCTTAGGCTTCCTGCCAGCCTATTTTGAGTGTTAAAATGAATAAACAGGAGTACGTGCAATTTAAATACAGTGAATGGGTTCAGCTTAGATGATCTGTTTTTGTTTATAAACTGTTTCTAATGAAGAGGAGGCTTTTAAAATTCCTTCTGGTCAGCTCTTCCCCTGGCCTAACATTACCAAAAAGAAGTTGGCATTTACTTGTCAACTTAGAAGAAAAAAAATTGCTTCTTTGGGACTATTAAATGCATTTTAGACTGTATGTGGAATTTGTTCTCATCCCTGAGAAATTCTTTGGGAAACTGGACAAACGTGTGATGATTAGTATGGTCAATACAGTATCAAACGGGGATTTGGACAAGATATCTTTTAAGATTGTGTCTAATCACTGACAGTCTAAGACTGGTTGATTTGAAAAGATTTCTTTTCTTCACAACTTTATTGAGTATATCGTAATTTTATGCAAATAACGCATGCCTTCTATGTTTGTTTGCCAACAGAGCCTTCCCCCTGCGAGGTATTTTTGTAAGTGCGCTATGCTGATTTTTTTTACAGCAACATATGAAAATATTGGCATAGCAGCATTTATGAAAATACCTCACAGGGGAGAGGGCTGCAGTTGACAAACAAACATAGGAGGTGCACATAATTTACGTAAAAATACTGTAATTTATATACAATAAAACTCACCTATTTTAATTATACAGTTTAATGAACGTTGGTAATTATATACAATCATGTAACTACCACCACAGTGAAGATATGGAACAATTCTATTAGCCTAAGAAGTTTTCTCAGGCCCCTTTGCAGATGAGCCCCTCTCCTGATCATTAGCCCCAGAACACACTGATCTCTTTTGTCACTATGGTTTTACCTTCTCTAGAATTACGTAGTTTTTTGGGTGTGTTTGATTTCCTTCACTTTCCATGTTTTTGTGATGTTGTTACATGTATTAATATTTCTTTCATTTTGATTGTTGAATAATATTCCACAGTATCAATGTACCACAATTTATTTATCCATTCACTAGTTAATAGACATTTTGGGTTGTTTTCGTTTTTGGCTATTATGAATAATGTTGCTGTGGATAATCACATACAAGTATTTGTGTGGACATAGTTTTCATTTCTCTTGGGTAAATACCTAAAAATGAGATTGCTGGGTTATATGGTAAATTCAAGTTTAACTTTATAAGTTAAACCATACTGTTTTCCAAAGTGGCTGCAGCATTTTGCAAATCTATGAGTAAAGTATGAGGGGTCTAACTTCTCTACATCATCACCAATGCTTGGTAGTGTCAGGCATTTTGTTAATGATAATCATTTTTTATCACTTTGATGTCTGTAGAGTCTGTAATGATATCCCCTTTTTCATTCCTAACATTGGTAATTTCTCTTTCTCTCTCTTCAGCCCGTCTAGAAACTTATCAATATTATTGATCTTTTCAAAGAACCAGCTTCTGGTTCATTGATTTTTCTCTATTTTTTGTTTGTTTGTTTAATTTGTCTCCTATTTCATTGATTTCTGCTTTTTATTATTTCCTTCTCTTCGCTTTGGGTTTAATTTGGTTTACTTTTTCTAATTTCTTATGGTAAGAACTCAGATCATTGATTTTAAAATTTTCTTTTCTAATGATGTTGTTATTGTTGCTGTCAAGTCAGTTCCAACTCACAGTGACCCTATACTACAGAGCAGAGCTGCCCCATAGGGTTTCCTAGGCTGTAATCTTTATGGAAGCAGATTGCCAGGTCTTTTCTCCCACAGAGCGGCTGGTGGGTTTGAACCGCTAACTTTTGGTTAGCTGCCAAGCATTTAACCATTGTGCTACCAGGGTTCCTTTTCTTTTCTAATATAAGCATTTAAAATATGAATTTCTAAGAACTGTTTTCGCAGCATCTCACAAATTTAGATATGTTGTATTTTCATGATAATTCAGTTCAAAATATTTTTTAATTTCCTTTGTGATGTCTTCTTTGACCTATGGTTTATTTATGTTTGTTGTTTAATTTCCAAATATGTATGATTTTCCTAGATATCTTATTGTTATTGACTTATAATTTAATTTCATTATAGTGAGAGAACATATTCTGTATGATTTCAGTTATTTTAAATTTATTCAGACTTCTTTTATGGCACAGCATATGGCCTACTCTGGAAAACAGTAGACTTGGTATTAAAGATGCTGAGGAATATCAAGTTGAGTGGGGCACTAATGTTACTGAGTTTCTGTAAAGGAATGAGTGTTCTTGGAATTAATTTATTGATTAATGAAGCCCATCATAATTTTACCCATTTGGGCAAAAACTGCTATATTCCTGGGGCTTGTATTGACTTGGGATTTTGTTCTTTTTGGATTGGGAGGGGCATTGGAGAATAGAGTATTGATCCTGCCTGTAAATGCTGTTTTGTTCCCCAGTCAATGTGCAGTGGCAATAAACCCCCTCCCCCATCCACTCAGAAAGGAGAGACCTTTTCCTGCTCCAAATGTGGTCGCCAGAATCACCAGGAGGCTTCCTTTTGCAACTGGTGTGGAACCAAGGTGGGTGTCTTAGAACTGAGCACCTCACCACTACCCCTGAGAGATACAGGGTCCTCTTCTGTGGCCTTGAAGATTTGGGGACTTACCTGTTTACTAAGAATCTGGAGATAATGAATTCTCTTTGAGAATGGTCTCTCATAATTGTTTTGATTTGCATTTCTTTGAGGTTGAAACTTTTCACACATTTGTTCACTACTGGCGTTTCTTCTTTTAAGAATTATCTGCTTACTGACCTCTTTTTTAAAAAAAAAAATTATGTATTTATTTATCTAAATAAGTATTGCATGCAAGTAATGCAAAGGGTCTATAGTGAAGGGTTTGTCTCCTTTCTCATCCCAGTGCCACAGTTCCCCTTCCCAGAAGCAGTCACTGTTACCCAGTTTTTGTGGTGGTCTTTCAGGTAATCAATGTGTTTGTAAGTAAACTGGTAGCTTTACTGATCCAATTATTTTCACCTAGCAATATATCTTGTTAAAAATCTCCTCATTCTTTTCAGTGGCTTTATAATATTCTATTGTCTGGATGTACCATAATATACTTAGGCAATTCTCTATCCTGGACATTTAGGTTTTTTCCAGTTATTCCTTCTGATAGCACAATGCTTCAGGGAATAGACTTGAATATACTTCTTTGTGTACTTGTTCATATGTAGGATAAATTCTAGAAGCTGGAATTGCTGGGTCAGAGTATATGAGCATGTTATGTTATATTTGTGACTAGAGATTATGTGGTATAGGAAAAATATGATTCTATGGGAAAGTATTATTATTCATAAAAATGGAAAATGTTTCCTATCTTCTAGCGTGGCATTTCCAGTTGCTGCTCTGTTTGCCCTAAATGTGGAGCTAGCAATTACCCATCTGCTCGATTTTGTGGCTTCTGTGGCATTCATGTGGGGTCCTTGGCAAGACTAAGCTTGGAAAACGGCATGGCCCCAGCTAATGGAGAACCCTGCCCTTTTTCTAAGGTGAGTCCCCCATCATGGTAAGAGCTAGTGCCCTAGAAGAGAACGTGACCCCGAATTTGTGTACTCTGTAAATCAACCCAGGCCTTGGGTTTCCATGGGAAAGAGAGTCAAAACATTTAGGCCATTGTTAAAAAAAATCAAAGCTCAAAAAAATTGAAATATAAAGTTTATTCCAAGGAGTTACTCTATATGCATATAGGGAGATCATTCTGACTCTAAAAACAAACAAAAATGACTCCACGTGGGCTAGTTATAATGAAGCTTGTAAAGAGGAGAGGAGGGAAAAGAATAGAAGAGCAACCATTGGCTAATCTTAACACGATTGATTGAACCCTGCCCTTTCCCTTTTACTGAGGTCGCTGTTACCAGGTTACTAGGTGGTCTCTGGCCTGGTGGCTAAAAATTTGGCAATCCAGTCACCTAAAGAGGTAAGACTTTTTGAAATTTAAATTAGGTAAGCTCCCTGTCTTTTAAATTAAATCATAAGGTAATGGTTTTGTTATTTACTGTTGTTATTTACTGTTTATTATAACCAGGCTACAAAGTTGATTAGCATCTGTGGGTGAAAAGAACAGACCAGCAAAGCTGTAGGTAGCATCAGTTTTGGGTTAGATATTTTTAAGTTCGTGGGTGAGAAAAAAACCCTTAAAATCAAAGTAAGATTTTTTTTTGTTATTAATTGTTTTCTTTGACATCTTTCACGTGGACTTTCAATGAAGTGTGTAAATAAACTCACTTTAGATTTTAAACACCCAAATGATTTCTTCAGAAATCAAAGATCTGGATATGTATTTATGTGTAGTAAATTGAGGTCTATTTGCATTTGCAAAGCAATGGACATAATGTCTCTAGGGAGGAGTAGATCCAAAACACATGGGACAAAATGTATTTCCCTTCTCTTGAACTTCTTCTGTAGCATACTGAGAACTTTTCCCCATGCTGTTTTATATTTTAGAAAGACTTACACCAGGTGTATAAGATTGCTTTTGCCATTTTTAACACCTGGGTCTTTTCAGTACTTAAGTTTTAACTGGCTTCTCTTTAGTATTTTATGAATTTTTCTAAGCTAGATAAAGATTTTTCAGGTTTCTTATCGTTTCATTATAAGAATTTGAAGGTTGATAATTATTAGAGAGAATGCATACGCACTGTGGTGACATGAGTTCTTTTATGTGGACTTTTGCGTTGATTCTTTGGGGGGGAATGGCTGGTGTCAGAAATGGTGAAGAAGTTGGAGAGCAGAGGAATGTGTGACCTCTGCCTCATAGGAACCATCTTTGTGCTGATCCTGATTCATATTCTTCATGAATTTAGACAATTCCTCATGTTCATATATTCATGCACTCAGCATTTTGTATACATTTTTAGGGAGCTCATGGGCAGTTCAGATCCACCAGCTGCTCCTTGGAAACCCTGTGGGGTGGTTCGACTGCATCCTACAGGGTAACTATGAGTTGGAACCAACTCGATGGCACCTAACAACAACAACCACAGCATTAGCCCAGATTGAAGGATTTATAGATCCAGGGACTGCCACTATCCCATATGCACCTTTGTGCTAATGAGAAAAAGGTACCCTTTCCTCAAGACACTTGACTGCCTTCTGTTGGTAATTGATTGTAATACACTAACTTGTTAGACATTTTCTTTTACCTACCAGAAAATTGTCCTGATAAATATATCATGTCCACCATGTGAATGGTGCCCCTTTAGATGTGGTTGCTTTGTGCAGTGCACAACCTGCATAATCTTACATGGTATCCCTGCCAGGCCCCCAGGTCCACATGCAGGAGAGCATGTCAGAGAAAACGTTGGTGCCCAGTGGGTAAATCTGGATGGGGAGTGAAGTCTGTGCTCCATTGAAGGGTAGAGCTGAGAGGGTTGATATCTTCCAGGCCTCAGTCAGGACAGGGAGCATCAGGTAATTTGCTGAATTTGAGATAGTAAATGCCACGGGAATGGGGCTGGCTTCATGGATCATACTGGAAGTTGCTGGGGAAGAAAGAAGTAAGGAATGTGAGGCAAGGACTGGAAAATCCTTTTTAGTTCAACATAAAGTTTTCTAGGAGATAATTCTACTTCTGGTTAGCATTGTTTTCTATGAGCAAAATAGAGGATTCACTAAATTATATTCCTTTTTTTTATGTTTTCTGCCTTGCTCATAGCCTCGATCTGCCTGGCAGTCCCTAAATGTTCCTTTGCCTGGATCCAATGCTGGGTCTAAGAAGGACATCAGCACACAGACTGTTGGCCTTTTCTACCCATCCAGCAAGCTGCTAGCAAAGAAGGAGCTGGAACTGACTTCTCAGAAACAAAGGCGGGAGAAGATGAGTGATCATAGACCTGTCCTCACAGCCATCAGCCCAGGAAGAGGTGATGGGAAAAACTCGCTTTCTTGTCATCAGGAGGGAGCTCATTCTTTTCTAAAAACAAAACAAAACAAAATAACTTCTCTTTCTTCTTCCTTTGAGATTTTTTTTTTCCTGTGTGAAAAGTGACTTCATTTTATTGTTCTTTTTTTCAAGTAATTCTTCTGTGTTTGAATAATAGCTCTTCGTTAAGCTTCTAGTACTATGATATTTTAGCCATAGCCCTACTTCATAAATCAAATTGCACATACTGCCTTCTTGTATTATGGTAGAAATGTTGTGAGTCTGTTGCCGTTATTGCCATCTGCTGTATCTCTTTTTTTTTTTTAATAATCTATTTTATTTTTGTTGTTGTTGAGAATACACACAGCAGAACATATACCAATTCAACAGTTTCTACATGTACAATTCATGCCATTATCTCTTAATGCACTGTTATCCCTTTCCTCTGTCTCTCAAATGTACAAGTGCCAAAGTGTTCAACTTGCCCTTCTGGGGATGGGAATGACCAGATGGGCACTGCCCAATCAGAACCAACAGTGCTATTAGCGCAATATATTTTCGAAGAGAAAAAGCATTTTATTTTAAGAAATTCCAATTTATTGATTTTTTTCTTTTATACTTTGTGTGTTGTATGACATATTTAAGAAATCTGTGCCAAATCTAAGGTCACTACAATTTTATCCTTTGTTTTCTTCTAGAAGTTTTATATTTTAACTCTTACATTTAGTCTGTGATCTATTTCAAGTTAATTTTGTATATGGCTTGGGGTAAGGGTTGACATTCATTTTTCTACATATGGCTCTTTAATTGTTCCAGTATCATTTGTTGAAAATGTTGTTCTTTCTCCCAGTGAACTGCCTCAGCACTTTTGTCAAAAATCAGTTGACCATATATGTGTGGGTTAGTTTATGGACTCTAGTCTGTTCCAGTGATCTCTTTGTCTATGTTTACACCAATACTACATTGCTTAATTATTGTAGTTTTCTAATAAGTCTTGAAATCAGGTAGTGTCAGTTCTGTTCTCCTTTTTCAAAGTTGTTTTGGCTATTTCTAGGTCCTTTGTCTTTCCATATAAATTTTCAAATCAGGCTGTCAACTTCTACAAAAGAATTTTGGAATGAGCAGTAACACAACTGATGCCCCTAAATAGCACACTGACCCAAATATCAGTGAGATACTTTTCCTATAAAAATTGCTGTTTCAGAGATGCAACTCACTTCTTTTTATAGCTGTGGCATTATGTGATCTTGAAGGCATTTCTCACTCTAGTTGCAACAAACTCAAGAAACAGAGATGCAGAATAAGATTCTTAGAGGGGAAAGGTATATGGAAAGTTAGGAAGGGTGGACGCAATGATGAAGCCACATTCAATCTCTGGTAAGCCAGTATGTTTTGTCTTTTTAGAGAGCAAGTTTGGAGGGACTTTGTAATTGAAAGCAAGTGTTTAAAAGATGCTTCCAAGGCATACTGAGGAACAGTGGTAGGTGCATCCCATTTATTCCAGTTTCCAGTCAGCACATTACTAAGATCCACCATATGGCAATAGACCCATGTAGCAAAATAGACATGATCTGTGGTGGAGATTGCTGTTTGCTGCCCAGTGTCCTTTCACACCTGCTCCTTTACAAACAGAACGCTGTTTTCATTTTGGGATGGCTCTGTGCCCACTAAAAACCACATTTCCCAGCTTCCCTTTCAGTCGGGGTTGGTCAGGTGACATGATATGTGAGCAGAAGTCACTGGGGGCTTCTGGAAGAATCTTCAAGGTGGTTGACACAGCAGGAACCTGCCCCTTTTGTCTCCCCACTTTCTCTTTAATGTATTTATACCTGATGCATTGAACAAGCACAACTTGAAATGCAAGTGTATGTTTAGTTTCCCACTGACCCTGTGGGATAACCTTTCCTTGTCCCTTGCTGAGCTGTCGGCAGGCCTTGACTTTCTCCTCCCTCTGCATAATAAGAGTCCTACAGCCATTTTCATTGAGGGCAGTGGTGGTTCAGTGGCTTAATATTACTAAGATGGCAATATTCTCCAAATTTATTTACAAATTCAATTCAATCCCTATCATAATCCCAGCTGACTTCTTTGTAGAAATTGACAAGCTGGTCCTAAAATTCTTACAGAAATGCAAGGGACCCAGAATAGCCAAAGCAATCTTGATGGCTTTTCATTTATTTAGACCTTCTTCAGTTTCTTTCAACAGTTTTGTAGTTTTCAATTTTCTTTTGTTAAATTCATTCCTAAGTAATTTTTTTTTTTTTGATGCTATCATAAATGGGGAGCTCTGGTGGTGTACTGGTTAAGTATTTGGCTGCTAACCAAAATGTCGGCAGTTCGAATCCAGCAGCCGCTCCTTGGAAACCCTATGGAGCAGTTCTACTCTGTCCTATAGGGTCACTGTGAGTGGGAATCTACTCAATGGCAGTGAGTGTCATAAATAGAATTGTTTTCTTAATTTCATTTTTCAGATTTTTCACTGGCAGTGTATAGAAATACAGTTGATTTTTGTATATTGATCTTCACTGAGCCCCAGCTGTCCACAGTAGTAACTAGTTTAACATATTCTTCAGTGACTTTCCTCCTTTCCTTATCTCCCTGTCTCTACTCCATCTCTTGTGCTTCCCAGGATCACCATACAAATAAACCACCTGTCCTAAGTCTTTCTTTCAGTCTCTGCTCTTAAGGGAACCCAAACTAAGACACTCAGGCTCTTTTTTTACTTAATCTCATAACAACACATTAGGTAGGAGGTATTAGTCCTATTTTATAGGTAAGGAAAGTAAGGCTTAGGGAGATTAAGTATCTGGCTCAAGTTCACTAAGCTAATGAATGGTAGATTAAATGCGGATTTAAGTTGAAGTCTGTTTGAACTGCAATTCACATGCTCTTTCTTCTAAACCGTGCTGAGTGACCTTAAAAAAGCTACCTGATTGCTCTCAGGTGTGTGCTGAGAATGTGCTCATTGGAAAAATGATTTGATATGGATTTTCAGACTCTAATGGCCACTAGGCAAAGCAGGCTAGTAAAGACAGGAAGCTGGACCTGCAAGAACTATGGCCAAGTGGAGGGCTATGCCCTGTTGCTCCAGCCCAGCTAAGTCTGGGCAGGAAGGCAGGCCACATCTTCCAACTGTACACAAGAAAGTGGATATCCAGACTTTCATGTGAAATCTTACGAGTTTTAAATGTTGTTGTTAGTTGTCATTAAGCTGATTCTGACTCACGGAGACCCCATGTGTACAGAGTAGAACTGTTCTATAGGGTTTTCAAGGCTGTGACCTTTCAGAAGCAGATCAACAGTCCTGTCTTCTGAGGTGGCTCTGGGTGGGTTCAAACCACCAACCTTTTGGCTAGTAGCCGAGTGTTTAACTGTTTGCACCACCTAGGGACTCCATTCTGTGCTTAGTTATGTATAAAAAGAAGCTGATAACAACAATGGAATTTGACCCTGTACATAGTGGAGGTTTAGGAAGTAAAACCATCACAAAGCTTGGCAATGGAAAATAACCTCTTTGAGAATGCACGCTCCATGCTATCATTTTCTTTCTCAGCACAGAAGAATTATCCACATGGCTGAGTTTGGGTTTCTCTTCTTCCTTTAGGATACTGGAGAAAACAATTGGATCATATCTCTGCTCACCTCAGGGCTTATGCTCAGAACAACCCTGAATTCCGGACCTTAATTGCAGAACCCAGGATGGGAAAGGTGGGGAACTCTGAGATGAGTCCAGAGCACTTCTGTGTGATTGGGCTGAAATGACCCTCCCAGGGACTTTGCCTGAAATTGCACCCTTGCTTGCTTCTTTCTCTTTTCTGCACTGCTTTCCACACTTTCTTACTAGTGTCCCCTGGGAGCACATCATTTTGAGTCTTGTCTCAGGATGTACTTCTGGAGCACTTGACCTGAGACAGTAAGATTCTGAACACTTCATGCTTAGATGGCATATGTTATGGAAATTCTGATGGTCAGAGCTAAAGGACTGGAAGAGTTTAGTCCAGCCAAATTGTGCACTTAAATCATATACTATATTAACAGCAATAATAATCATTATGATTACTATTGAACAACACACTCAGTATCTGCATCATATTCATCATCTCTTGCCCTCATAACAAACCTACAAGGTAGGAGTATTACCTCTGTGGCAGTTTGACAAATGGCCACAAATTCTATGACAGTCTTCCCTTCAAAAGGTGGCGTCTATGTCCCTCCTCTTGAATCTGGGTGGGCCATGACCATTCAACTAATAGATTATGGCAGAAGTGATGCTGTGTCATATAAGGCGGTGCATCTTCCTCCTGCTGGTATACTCATCTCCAGATGCTCCCTCTTGAGAAACTCCATCTTGGAACCTAGCCACCCTGCTGTGAGAAGCCCAAGCCACACAGAGTGGTTACACGTAGGTGCTCCAATATGCTGTCCGAGCTGAACCCAGTCCTCAATTCATCCCGGCTCAGTTGTGAGGCATAGAATGATGAGACAAGATAATTCCAGCCCCCAACATCAAGCCACCCCCTCACCATTTGTGTCTTCCCAGCTGAAGCCTCAGACATGTGAGCAGAGAAGAGTCATCCCAGCTCTGCCCTGTCTGAATCCATGAGCATAAGAAAATGGGTGTTCTTTAATACCACTAAGTTTGGAAAACTGAGGCTCGGAGAGGTTTGGTGACTTGCCCAAGACTACACTGTTGGGTCTCGGGGAATTCAGGATTTGAAGCCAGGTCTGTTGGACCCCAAACCCCATGCCCTTTCTCTGGAACTACACCATCACTGTAGAGGTTACATGTAGGTGACCTTTGTGAGAGGACCTTTTCATCTGTTTGTCATGAGACTAGAAGGAACATTTTAAAATCTGCCTGTCCACTCCTCTGCTACCAAATAGGCCAACATGGAAACTCTGTTATTGTCAGGCATTGCTCAGTTTTCTTTGATGATCTACTTTGATGGTTTATAAACTCTTTGGCCTAATCCAGGATTCTGTAAACTATGGTCTGCAGGGCAAATCTAGGCTGCTGCCCAGTTTTGTAAGTAAAGTTTTATTGGATCACAGCTACACCCAATCATTCACTTATTGTCTTATGTCTGCTTTTGTGCTAAATGGCAAAGTCGAGTATTAGTAACAGAGACCATATGGCCCACAAAACCTAAAACATTTTCTATCTGTCTCTTTACCAAAAACATTTACTAACTCCTGGTTTAATCTAAATTCTTCCCACTACTTATACAAAAAGCTGTTCGACTGTGATACTTGTTCCCCAATTGCCAAGGCCCGCCTTCTATACCCTCTTAGGATTAAATTTAAAACGTATCTCTTTTTGAAAGCATAAATGTGGGTCTTGCTTTCTAATCCAGTCTGACAGTCTCTACCCTTTTATTGGATTTCATTGATAATTAATAGAATTATTGATATGGCTGGATTTGGGTCTGCCACTATGCTATTTCTTTTCTATTTATCTCATCTAGTTTTTGTCTCTCTGTCCTCTTTCCTGCCTTCTTTTGTGTTAATTAAATATTTAATTAGCATTTAACACCTCAGATTTTCTAGGTTGTTGCTCAAGTTGTGAATTCTCTTTACTACTTTTTTAAAAGCTTATCTCTGCTACTGTCCATGAAGATGGTTGTGAAGTTAGCATCAGGCTGAATTATATTAAAGTCTCAAACAAGGTAAGTAACATCTTCAGAAGTTATTCATTTGAGAATTAACTGAACTAGTAAATTGTGGCTTACAATTTATAGAAATGCTCTAATCCACAGAAAGGAGAAGTTTTGGATATTATGAAACTTGACTGTACATGAGGAATTTCATACAATTAAATAAGTAATTGAGCTAAATATCAAGGAAGGCAGCTTTCGGGCATGTAAAAATATAGTAAGAACTGGAATTATCATCCACTGTATTGGTCCTATAGTTCTCAGACTTATTAGTACTCACTGAAGTGTGATGGCATGTCTGTGATACAGTTGATTTAGGGAAAGACTGATGATAAAATGTTTGCTGATACAGGCTTTGGCCTGCTTGCCTTGTATAAAATAAATCAAACGTTGTGGCCGTGTCTCTCTTGATCTGTCCTCTTATATGGTGGCTGGAGCATTACCACAGGGCCTGTAAGTGTATGTGCAGCTTTAGTTTTATCGGACAAGAAGTCAGAATATGCAAAGGAATAATTAATGGGTTGTTACAATGGGGAAAGAAAGCAAGGAAAAGGAGGGGAGCTAACATTCATTAGGCCCTGGCTATGTGCCTTGTAAGGTTGTAAAAGTGTCTCTAAAATTAGGATAGATACAGGGCCTGGCCTGACTCAGAAAGGGGTGGGAGTATCAAATGGGATAATGCCCATGAAAGTGCTTTGAAGCCACTTCAAGCACTAAATGCTATGTTCCGAGCAGAGCCTGGGCCAGGGAGATGCTCTCAGAATAAGGGACAGAGGGAGGGAGGGAAGCACGACAAAGTGGGGAATGTGTGTGAGGACGGATTTTGAGCAGTCTAGCTTTAGCCGGATCCATGGGGAGCTCTGGAGCGTGATTAACTCCACAAAGTTGTCCCTGCGTGAGGCGAGGGGAGGAAGGGCCGTAACCTCTAGAGCAAGGCAACACTCATCTACTGAGAGCTGGTCCCTGGAGAAGAAGATCAGCTGTGAGCAGTTAGCACCTGGGTTGGATATCCTGACTGGGAAAGGGGGACTAGGTGCGGCACCGACAGCATCTAGGACACACTGTCTATCAAGCAGAGGGGGAGGAATTGTCCCCAGGTTGAATGTCTTCTTCTTTAGCCTGTGTGTCTTAGTGTCCAGGGAGCAGCAGATGATGGTGCGCATGGCCGGAGGGCAGCCGCATGGGGTGGGGCAGGATGCCACGCTGGGGAACCAGTCCAGGTGGATACAGTATGCCATGTCTGGCCCATTTCACAGCACCTGTTTTCTCTCATTTCCCTTTCACAACATCCCTTTGAGGTAGGTCATAATATTCCACTCTGCGGGTGAGGAAACCAAGACTCAGAGAAGTTAAGCAACTTATTTCTTCCAAGGTCAAGAAGGTGACAGAACCGGGATTCAAACTCTGCAGCCTGGAGACTCCCCATCCTGTCACCCTAAATCGAAGACATTGAAGGGTTTTAAGCAGGGGAGGGCTACAGTTAGTTATAAATTGTACAAAGGTGACAGGGCAGCCAGGTGGAAGGTGGGCTGGCAGAAACTTGTTGGAAAGCTGTTGGAGTGGTCCTCATGTGAAACGAGGGGCTGCAACCATAGTGACAAAGAGGAGGGGCCAGACTGAGGTGCTGTTTAAAAGGCAAAATGGACAACATGTCATGGTGAGGTGTGGAGGATGTCAGGAACGGTGTCTATGTTTCAGGCTTGACTGGGTAGATAGAGATGTCATTAACACAAGAGGAACAGGTAGATAGGGAGAGAATTCTTCCTGTTGGGACACAGCAGCCTCATCATTTGTGGTACTTGAATTTTGTCGTTGGCCAGAACCTTTACTTCAACAAGGTGGTGGATTTCAGTGACCACTTTCTGAGCAGTGTCACCGAGGGTGGTAATGGGCTGTGCCGCAGCAGATCCAGCTTGGGTGAGTTGTTCCCCTCTGGGGATTTTTAAACAATTTTAAACAATTGACAGACATGCAAGGACAACAGAGAATTGCTTAAAGTTTGCTAGCCCAACACACATCTTTGTGTCCCAGCCATTTTATTCCTCTGGCTTTCCTGAAGCCAAGGGTAAGACTCTGAAGTCCTTCACAGGACCTGGGCAGATTCATCTGGGGATGCTCTTTTGGGGCTAAAAACCGCAATCCCCTTCTACTCTAACCCTTCTCTGGTTCCTGGACTGAGGGAAACGGCTCCAGGAGTCCTTCCTGGCTAGTTTTAATTAAATAGAAGTGTCTCAAAGTGGTCTTGAATGACGTGGTAGCAGAGTAGCTCTTCACCTGTGGGGAGTGGGAGGTGGCATCATTTTAGACCTCAACGTTTTGTCATTTCAGTAAGTGACTACAGCCAGAGTACCTCAGATACCACTGAAAAAGTCAAGAGGACAAAGAACTTCAAGGCCAAAACATTTCAAGAAAAGAAAAAACAGCTTACAGTATGTGTACTCCTTGTAGCTGTCCTCTTCAGCCTGTCTATTAAATGTTTTATTTTCACATTTTTAAGGGCAGAATACTGTCTTATTTTCTGGTTTTCCTTTTTTTTTTTTTTTTAATAACAGTGTATTTTTATTTTATGGAGAGAGAATCCTCCCAAATATCTCAAGATTTCCTGAATCACCTCTGTTTCCTCTCGGGTCATTTCTGTCTGCTCTTTTTGTTCCTTCTCTTTTCTGTTTTTGGTTTGCCTCAAGTATGCAATGATCCTTGGTTGTCTGATCATGTTGACAAATGAAGAAATAGTCTGAGTAGTACAGGTGCCTGGCATGGGTGTCCAGACAAGCATGTGGCCTGTGTGTGTGGACAGGGCGTGCTGTTGGGCAGACTTCCCTGGAGGTTTTGTGGGCAGGGAACATGAAGAAAGCTATGGGGGTACCCTAAATTGTCACTGTTGAGGTGGTGGTAGTGCTGGTGGCGTGAAACACTTTAGTGTGTTTCCTTCCTGGATGGAGCTGTCCTTCTGTCTTTGCCTTCTACACTCTTCCCTGTGTCTGTTATGGTGATCTGGGCTTTGCATTCCTTCGTTCTTGAGCCCCAGTGCTCCCAATGTGCTTTATCACACAAACTACATACTTTCTGAAAAATAGTTGTCAGGATTTAAGGCAGTAGCAAAAGTCTCCTGCCCTTGTTGCATGAGTGAGAAGGGGAGGGCAAAAGCCATCTTAGCTATTCACAATAAACCTATTGCTGTTGAGTCAATTCCGATTCATAGTGACCCTAGGACAGAGTAGAACTGCCCCATAGGGTTTCCAAGGAACAGCTGGTGGATTCGAACTACTGGCTGTAGCTCTTAACCACTGTGCCACCAGGGCAATTCACGATAAACCCCTTTAATAATGCACTGATGAATTCAGCTTGCACCTAACCACTGCCTTCCTTGTTGATTAACTTTGAGCTTCTCCAGAAAACACTCATAACTCTCGTGTCCTCAGCTGGTTTTTCTTTGCCTTGATTTCCCTGTCAGTCAGATTTCATTTACTTTCAATATTCTTGGGATTCTGCAGAATTTCTGGTCCACTGATGTTACACTTTCAAAGTGTCCCAAGCTGTTAGAGTTTTCTTTTTCAAAAATATACACCATGAATAATTTCAATTGGAGCTTTGAAGAAAGGAATTGTGGATGTCCTTGTTCAAGTCCACCACCTCACTTTCTAGTTGGTCCCTTTTGGCTGCAGTATGACAAACAAATGCAATTAGGAACAAGCCCCAAAGACTTCGTCTCCTAGCCTGAGATGGAGAAGGGGTAAAATGTCAGTTCTTTTCCTCCACCTTCAGATAAGCCAAGCACTCAGATCTTCCTTAAAACCAAACCCACTGCCATCAAGTTGATTCCAACTCATAGCAACCCTATAGGACAGAGTAGAACTGCCCCGGGTTTCCAAGGATGTAAATCTTTATGGAGGCCGACTGCCACAACTTTCATCCTGAGGAGCAGCTGGTGGGTTTGAACTGCTGACCTTTTGGTTAGCAGCTGAGCGTTTTAACCACTGTGCCACCAGGGCTCCTAAAGCTTCCTTGGTGGTGCCCATATGAGCTTCTGACTTGCATCAAGATTTCTCTGAAGGCAGGGAATCTATTCTTCATCTTGTTCTTTCCCGCCACATACTTTGCATGTAATAAACACTAGTGAATCTGGATAGAAGACCTTAGAATTATTTTAACTTTTTTCTGTAGATTTTATTTGTTTTGTTGTTGTTGAGAATATACACAGCAAAACATACACCAATTCAACAGTTTCTACATGTACGATTTAGTGACATTGATTACATTCTTCGAGTTGCACAACCATTCTCACTCTCCTTCTCTGAGTTGTTCCTCCCTCATTAACATGAACCCACTGCCCCCTAAGGTTCTTATCTGATCTTTTGAGTTGCTGTTCTCAATATGATTCCGTATAGGTAGTTCTTAAAAGAGACCTTTTTTTACTAGTTAAGCTAAACCATTGTTTGGTTTTAAGATGACTTCAGGGGATATTTTTGGTTTAAGGTTTAAAGATTATCTCAGGGCAATAGTGTCAGGGGTTCATCCACCCTCCATAGCTCCAGAAGGTCTAGAGTCCATGATGACTGTAAATGCTGTTCTGCATTTCCCCCCTCTATTGATCAGAATTTTTCTATGGAATCTTTGATCAAAACTTTCAGAAATGGTAGCCGGGCACCATCCAGTTTTTCTGGACTCATGACAAAGGAGGCAGCTGTTCATGGAGGCAGTTAGCTACACATGCCATATCCTCCCCCTGTTCTTGACTCTCTTTCTTCCTCTGTTGCTCCAGGTGAGTAGAGGCTAATTGTTGTGCCTTGGATGGCCGCTTGCAAGCTTTTAAGACCCCAGACACTACACAGAGAACTAGGAGGTAGAACAGAAGCACTAAACACATTATTAGGCCAATTAACTGGAGTGTCCCATGAAACCATGACCCTAAACAGCCAAACCAAAGAACCAAATCCCATGAGGTGTTTGGTTGTACATAAGCAGCCTCAGCAGCTATTCTTTTTTGTCAATTGTTGTAAATATATCACACAACTTTTTCCAATTAAACTTTTTACGGGTGTACAACTTACAGCAATTACAGTAATTGGCTGTGCAATGCTGCCGTTAATTAATGCAATTTTTCCATCACCAATAACCCCCCTTTTTCCCCCTCACTCCTGCCCCTGGTAACTACTAATAAACTTTGGTCTCTAAATATTTGCCTGTTCTTGTCTTTTTATATGAGTGAGTCATACAATATTTGTCCTTTTGTGATGGCTTATTTCATTCAGCATAATGTCTTCAAGCTCCATTCATACTGTAACATGTATCAAGACTTAATGTATCAAGACTTCATTCCTCCTGCTGGCTGAGTAGTATTCCACTGTATGTATGTACCACATTTTTGTTTAACCATTCATCTGCTAATGGACATTTAGGTTATTTCCACCTTTTGGCTATTGTCAATAGTACTGCAATGAACACTGGTATACAAATCTCTTTTTGAGTCTCTGCTTTCAAGTCTTTTGGGTATACACCAGGAGTCATATGGTAGTTCTATTTTTAGTGTTTTAAGGAACAACCGCACTGCTCTCCACAACAGCTGTAATTATTTTGTTTTTTAATCTTAGCCATCATAGTGGGAGTGAAATGGTATCTCATTGTGGTTTTGATTTGCATCTCTCTGATGGCTAATGATAATGAGTATTTTTTCATGTGTCTGCTGGCAATTTGAATGTCCTCTTTGGTGAAATGTCTGTTCAAGTCCTTTGCCCATTTTATGATTGGGTTATTTGTGTTTTTGTTTAAGTTGTCAAAGTTTTATATATGCTTTGGTTATTAGATTCTTGTCTGATATATGGTTTTTGAAGATATTCTCCCAGTCGGTACCTTGTCTTTTCACTTTTTTGGTAAAGTCTTTTGATGAACAAAGTTTTTAACTTTTATGAGGTCCCGTTTATTTATTTGGCCTCTTGCTGTTTTAACTTTTATTGCTTGTGATTCCTATCACTCTCTACCTTCCCCTAGTTTGAAGTGTTGTTAGGAGCATAAGAGGAGTATAGTGCTCCATGAACTTAATAACAGCTTACAATTTTAGAGTCTCTACTCTCTTATTCAGTATGTGGCCTGAATCCCCCCATTGTTGTATGTCTTTGTTATCTTATTTGCATTTTGGCAGTAAGTGTCAAAAACTAAAACATTAATTCAGTCATTCAGCGATCATTTTGAGCAAATACGTACCAGGTGTGATCTAAATTTTAAAAATAAAATGTTATTCAAAGTCTGCTGAGAAGCCAGACCTAGGTCACATATGTAGAGGCCATAGCTGCAAGAGAGCCTAGAAAAGTAATGTGTAATGTGGGCACTTTCCAAATTGAGGAACCCTTTCCAAATAGGGTTCTTACATTGGGCATAAACAGTGACAAATCACCTCCAGAGTGCTCAATAAATTGGTTTCTTCTCTCCATTTCAAACAAACATTAACTAAAGAGACAAAGGTCTCAGAACTCATGAGGTTGACATCCTAGTGCAGTGTAGTACATTTCCCCCTAAAGAATGAAATTCAGCATAAACAGGGGCCCCTTACAACAGTGCTTGGTGGATTAATGATTAAAATACCTTGTTCTGAGGCACTCCGCCCGAGAGCAGGAAGGCCATAGCCTGGAGTTGGCATCTTCTTCTGAAAGGCTCAGAGTCCTTGACGGACTTCCTTATCCCCATGGCTTCCCAGGGAGCCAGGGAGGGGGTGGGTATTATTTCCACTTTAGAAACAAGGAGTGGTGGTCCCCTGACCTCCCTTCACTTAACGCTGGAATCCAGTGGCAGGAACATACTAAAAGTAATGCTTTCTGCTTTCTAGATTGCTTTCTTCAGTTTTTCAGCCACCAGCACTTTGAAAGTCTTTAAATATAAAGATGAGTTTAGATTTAATCTGAGAATTATCTCATCAAAATAATTTTATAGCACTTTGAAAATGTAAATGATAATACATTCTTTAGGTTTCTAATGATAATTGTGACTTTTCCTTTCTAAACAAGAGGTCAGCTTTATTGATTTTCTTCTTGGGTAAGCACATTTTCTGAGCTGTCATATTCAGGCTGCCACTGAACACTCTACAAAGTATTTTAGGGTTCAGCTGGTAGCTTTGCCTAGAAATATTCATAATAAAACTAGTGTGGGGCTTCTCATTGCCTCCCTGTCCTTAAGAATTTAAAACATCATCAGTGTGGTGTCCTTCCCAAGTCAGGGCTTCCGAGATCAGCAAGAGTTACATTACCAGTTACCAGTTGCCATAGAGTTAACTCTGCTCATGGTGATCCCTGGTATATCAGAGTAGAACTATGCTTCATAGGGTTTTCAGTGGCTGATTTTTTTTGGAAATAGATTGCCAGGCCTTTCTTCTAAGACACCTCTGGGTGGGCTCCAACCTTGCGGTTAGCAGCTCAGCACATTAACTGTCTGCATCACCCAGAGATGCTCAGATTGCTGCTACATGTTGAAGACCACACACATGCACACACACATTCATACGCACACACATTCATACTCACACTCATGCTTGCCTGTCCCTGTGGCTCAGAACACAACTGAGAATGTGGCTGTATCCTTGGTGAGGAAACATTTGCCTAGTGGATTGGCCGTGGGCAAGTGAGACTTGACTGTAAACCTATTTTGAGACCATAGAAATGACCACATTCTGTAATTCTCCAGCCTCAAAACAGACACCTGCTAAAGGAAGTCGGACCTGCAGGGGAAGGAAGAGTCTCTGTAATTGAAGAGCTGCTTGATGAAGTGAGTGTACCCAAAAGCACGGGTCTCTGAGGATTTTCAGACCTGCGTTGCACTTACATCTCTTCCAGGTGGAAGTTTCGTTCAATAGTGTTGTGAAAATTATAGTGCCATTTAATATTTAGAAATGTTTGAGAATGAATGAAATGAATAGTCAAGGGCATTATATTGTTACTTGTTACTAGTTTTTATAGCAAAGAAAATAGGCAGAAAAGTGGGCCCAAGTAACATGTATAAAGATGGATCTAATTCTTGGTCTGTGACCCATGTGATCGATCCCATGCAACCTTGGGCCTGGGATTCCTAAAGAAGTAAGGTTGTCAGGGGTATCTGTGCCTCCTGATGTGGGGAGCAGCTTTTTCGCCCAGGGGATTTGGCAGCTCTGTTCACTATAGGTGGAGTCTTAGGGTTTCCCTCAATGAGATGGATTGACGTAATAGCCACAACAATGGACTTGAACGTATCAACAATCGTGAAGACAGTGCAGGAATGGGCAATGCTTTGTTCTGTTATGCAGAAGGTCACCAAGAGTCAGAGTCAATTCAACAGCAAATAATAACAACATAGGGTTTCTGTTTCTCTTCTCCTTTGATCTAAAAGCAGTTTAGTTCCATAAGAACTTTAACTGTGAACCGCAACACACTGTTTTTTACACGTAATAGGATGGTGATTGGCTGCTGTAGGGTGCAGGGGTTTGTGGCGAGATTTTCCTTCTCCATATGCTGCAGGGGGCGGATCCCAACTGCAGTGATAACGAAGACCGGCCTGTTATCACCGTGGCTGTTATGAACAAGCACCACGCAGCAATTCCGATTCTCGTGCATCGAGGAGCACACGTCGACCAGCAGTCGGGACTGTAAGTGAAGGTGTTGAAAGGAGAGTTCTGGCCGTGTCGCAGGCAGCTAGTCGCTCTCGGGGCTTCGCTGCAGCAGAATCAGTCTGCACATACCTGTTCAGTTAGAAACACCTAAGAACCATTTTCATCCATTTCAACCTACATAAGAGGCTTATTTGTTTCTGATTTCCAAATTTGAGTAAGACAAAAGAATTGACTATTGTTTTACCAAGATTTTAGTAGCTTTTATAAATGACGATACATTTTGTTAATTCGGGAATTTACATTGTTGTGGGGCAGACAAATCCTTGGCCCTTGGGATGTTAAGAAATACTTTCATCATGATTTCTGAACTGTTAGGATGTACTAAGAGAAGAAGGGCCCCAGTTGTTCCCTGTGGAAATATGCTTATGAAGTTGACGTAGAAAGAAAACATTGTGTGGTTATTTCTGGGTTCTTACACCACTGGGGAGGAGGCTAGTACATCTGAGTTCACCACTACCTCCTGGGGCCTGGGTTCCCCAGCTGAGAGCAGGGAGAGGCATCAGTCATGTTGGATGTTTTGTTCCTTACTTTTCCAGCCTTGGCTCTGTCCTGCCTCCTGACCTTTCCCAGCTTTGTGATTTTATTGTTCTTTTGCAAATTACTTTGGAAACCTGGGGCGGAAAGTTCCTTAAGTGTGGGCCATTCAGGTTTCAGGTGAATAACTGCTTATATCCTGCTGACCAAGTCGTTGAAATAGTCTTCCAGTGATATCTCAGATATCTGTCACTACCGCCTCCTAACTATTACTGAGACAAGGTAGGGCGGGCCAGTGAGAGGTGGTGCTGAGTATGTCAGCACTGCAGGGGCTAGGATTTAGATAGTTTTACTTCTGTTTTTCCTTGTTTTGAAATTTTCTCCAGAGTTTTTATGCAAAATACATACCTATTCATTTTTCTATGTTCAGTTTTTTATAAGTTTTTGCCCAATAGGACAGCTATATTGGTAGATACTACCATCTCTCACTCCCTTTCTTTAGTTTTATCTTTATAGCAGAATGTTTGATATGTTGGAGTAAAGATTTGATGGCAGGAGTTTACTTTCTCAAGTTTCTTAGGGTTCACGTTCATCATACTGTCAACTCCTTCACCATTCCACAAGAATGACTGTTAAATTGTCATCATTATTAATAAAAATGATGTTGCCTTGTTTTATGTTAAGATATACTTTATATTTTTATAATCCAGACAACCTTTGCTTATAACATTTAGGTATAATGTTTTGTGGTTGTTACAAAGACCCCTTGAGCATATTTTGAATTGATGCTTAAGTATGATGAGTCCCGACTTCCTGAAAAGTCGGGCTAAGAGGATGAAGGTACTCAGGACATCAGACAAATTATCTGTCTTGCTTTGACGTCCCTCAGTTTCCATATTTGCTTCATCACCACTCTACAAATTTACATGTATCCACACATGATCTCATTGCATTTCTACGGGTCTGACATTGTGGTTATACCCGTCTGTCCACCTTGTGCATAATAGCCCTTTGTTACTCCCAGTATGTTATCACAGTTACTATTAGCTTTATTTAGCTCACGCATGTAAAGATGGAAAGAAAGCTAGATTGGAGGCCCTCCCCCAGAAGAGAGCACAGAGATCTTTTCGTCCTTTCCAGTGTATACCAAAGGAGGAAAGTGAATGTTTTCACTGAGAGCCAAATTCTGCTGAGTCTGGTTTATATATGTTAGTTTCAAGTGTTTAGACCTGGATCAACCTGGCCTATGCCCCATCGCTGGGCTTCTGTAGATCAGGAACACAACCTTGAGGCTCAATCCATTTTATTGCAAAGCTGTTCAGAGGTCTGGCATTCCTGGAGAAGGGGCTCAGCAAGTTTTTCCTTAGCAAACAAGGATTACAATGCTCTCTCTTACCCCAAGCAAAGAGAAGCAGGCTAAGTGGTCTCCACACAAGATAACTTCCATTAAGTAGTGAGGGGGGTGGGGGGCGGTGACAGAGAGCCCTTCAGTAGTGTTTCTGGTTCCCATGTTTGTGTCATTCCTACCAGAATGACATATTCAACAGAAAGGGAGATGCTATGGAGAAATACACATCCTCCTCCAAAGCTGATACCTCTTACTGGCAGACTACAGAAACAGATTCAAGGTCTCCATGAGGAGAGTAACAAAGAGAAGTGGGCTGTTAGCTTTTGGATAATAGATGCCCATCTTCACTTCACTGGAATCAGTGATGTGTCTCTAGGTGAGAACATTGTTCCCTTTGGAAATAAGCCCTCTAGACCCGCAGAGCATAGGGTCGCGGGGACAGGAGGCAAAAATTTTGTGGGTGGATCACTAGGGGTAATAGTGAGTGGTGCCACTCCCATTTCCACCCCTTGATTCCTGGACCAATGAATCCTGGCTGTGGGAGAAACAGCACCATATATTGGATGATGGTTTAGAGCATATACAGCCTCCTGGAGAGCATTGCCCCAACCCTGAAAAGTATTGCCACCTAGCTGGCACTGTAATTGTGTCTTTAGAAGGCCATTCTATCATTCTAGCAAGCCAGCTACTTCGGGATGATGGGGAACATGGTTGTTGTTGTTAGTTGCTGTCAAGTTGGTTCTGACTAATAGCGACCCTATGTACAACAGAATGAAACACTGCCTGGTCCTACACCATCCTCACAATCGTTGTTATGCTTGAGCCCACTGTTGCAGCCACTGTGTCAATCCATCTTGTTGAGGGTCTTCCTGTTTTTTGCTGACCATCTACTTTAACAAGCATGATGTCCTTCTCCAGGGACTGGTCCCTCCTGATAACATGTCCGAAGTATGTGAAACGAAGTCTTGCCCTCCTAGCTTCTAAGGAGCATTCTCTCTGTACTTCTTCCAAGATAGATTTGTTCATTCTTCTGGCAGTCTATGCTATATTCACTATTCTTCACCAACACCATAATTCAAAGGCATCAATTCTTCTTCAGTCTTCCTTATGCATTGTCCAGCTTTCGCATGCATATGAGGTGATTGAAAACACCATGGCTTGGGTCAGGAACACCTTCGTCCTTAAAGTGACATCTTTGCTTTTCAACACTTTAAAAGAGGTCTTTTGCAGCAGATTTGCCTAATGCAATGCATTGTTTGATTTCTTGACTGCTGCTTCCATGGGCATTGATTGTGGATCCAAGTAAAATGAAATCCTTGACAACTTCAATATTTTCTCCGTTTATTATGGCATTGCTTATTGGTCCAGTTGTGAGGATTTTTGTTTTCTTTGTGTTGAGGTGTAATCCATACCGAAGGCTGTGGTCTTTGATCTTCATCAATAAGTGCTTCAAGTCCTCTTCACTTTCAGCAAGCAAGGTTGTGTCATCTGCATAACGCAGGTTGTTAGTGAGTCTTCCTCCGATCCTGATGCCCCATTCTTCTTCATATAGGCCAGCTTCTCAGATTATTTGCTCAGCATACAGATTGAATAAGTATGGTGAAAGGATACAACCCCGACGCACACCTTTCCTGATTTTAAACCAGGCAGTATCCCCTTGTTCTGTTCGAATGACTGCCTCTTGGTCTATTACAGGTTCCTCATGAGCACAGTCAAGTGTTCTGGAGTTCCCATTCTTTGCAGCGTTATCCATAATTTGTTACAATCCATGTAGTTGAATGCCTTTGCATAGTCAATGAAACACAGGTAATGTGTTCCTGGTATTCTCTGCTTTCTGCCATGATCCATCTGATATCAGCAATGGTATCCCTCATTCTACTACCTCTTCTGAATCCGGCTTCGATTTCTGGCAGTTCCCTGTCAATATACAGTTGCAGCTGCTTTTGAATGATCTTCAGCAAAATTTTGCTTGCGTGAGATATTGATGATATTGTTTGATAATTTCTGCATTTTGGTTGGATCACCTTTCTTTGAAATGGACACAAATATGGCTCTCTTCCAAATGTTGGCCAGGTAGTTGTCTTCCAAATTTCTTGGCATATACCAGGGAGCACCTCCAGTGTTGCATCTGTTTGTTGAAACATCTCCATTGGTATTCAGTCAATTCCTGGAGCTTTGTTTTTCACCAGTGCCTTCAGTGCAGCTTAGACTTCTTCCTTCAGTACCATCAGTTCTTGATCATATGCTACCTTCTGAAATGGTTGAACATCGACCAGTTCTTTTTGGTACAGTGACTCTGTGTATTCCTTCCACCTTCTTTTGATGTTTCTTGCATCGTTCAGTATTTTCCCAGTAGAATCCTTCAGTATTGTAATTTGAGGCTTGAATTTTTTTCTTCATTTCTTTCGGCTTGTGAAATGCTGATGGTGTTCTTCCTTTTGGTTTTCTAAATCCAGATCTTTGCACATTTCATAATAATACTTTGTCTTCTTGAGCTGCCCTTTGAACTCTTCTCTTCAGCTCCTTTATTTCATCATTTCTTCTATTTGCTTTAGCTACTGTGCATTCAAGAACAAGTTTCAGAATCTGTTTTGACATCCATTTTGATCTTTTCTTTTTTTTCCTGTCTTTTTAATGACCTCTTGCTTTCTTCATGTATGATGTTCTTGATGTCATTCTACAACTTATCTGGTCTTTGGTCATTAGTGTTCAATGTGCCAAATCTATTCTTGTGATGGTTTCTAAATTCAGGTAGGATATACTCAAGGTCGTATACTGGCTCTCATGGACCTTCTCTCTCTCTCTCTCTATATATATATATATATATATATATATATGCAGAGAAAGAGAGAGGTATTCATCTCTAGGAAATAGCTCACATGGTTGTAGAGGTTGACAAGTCCCAAGTCTGTGGGTCAGGCATCAGGCTGGAGGCTTCTCCTGACTCATATAGCTGTAGGGGCTGATGAACCCAAGATCAGCAGGTCAGACAGCAGGCTGCTGGCTCACAGGCTGCAGAAGCTGACAAATCCCAAGATCAGCAGGCAGTATGGCAGGCAGCTGTCTCAAGTCCCAAGAACCAGAGGTCAGATGATGACAAGCCAGATGCAAGATCTAGAGCAAGCAAGTGAGCTTTGCCAAAATGTCCATATAT